GCAGCACAGATTAATAACAGTGAAAAAATGTGCTTTCAGTAGGAACGGATGCGAGTGGAGTATGGAGGTTAAGAACAACAGGGTGTCGAGGGGCAGCACGTTGATTATTGCCTGCAGGTCCTGGACAGGCCTCCATCCTCAGCTGTTGGGCTTTCTCACGGGTTATATTTAATAGTATTACAGAGACTAGCACAAGGGGTAGTGAGGCTCTGAGCCTTGGAATCCTCTTACGGGCTTTACACCTTGAAGGGCTTCTTTCCTCATAGGGTATTGATTAGTTCTGGGGAGACGTTTCGAGGGACCTATTTGAGTCTTAATGGGAAGAGCACTGTGGGTTTTGCCAGTATCAGTTGGAGAAGTTCTGCCCATAAGGAGGATGGTAGCTGACTCAGCAGGGACGAATGATCAGCGTCTCCCGAATCAGCTCCAGGACTGTCAGAGACAAAGCAAAGCCAAGCCAGTGAAGGGTCACTGAACTCACCTGGTTGGCTATTTTGACTGTTACTGTGAAATTCTAGAATTATTTCCCCTTTTGGGAGAAAGAAATTCCAGCATATTTGCTGAGCTGTCTTGGCCCAATAAATGAATAGGGGCGGAGAGACTAAGGAGGGAAGTGTGGGTATCTCTCAGGGGCCTAAGCAAAAAGGAGCAGGTTCAGGGACAGGACCCTGTTGAGGTTCATCAGAGACCCCCACTACTTGGATCACTTTCGTGCTCCGAGGCCGGGGCTGCTTTACCGCAGTTGAACTGAGAGTGAGGCTCTGGTGCCAGAAGAGATTGATTCCCAATCTGGAGAGTTGTTTTTCTGAGCTGATGAAGAGGGAGGGTTGGGAAGAACCCCTGTGGTTCCTCAGAGGCCCGTTGGTGGTGGTCAGGAGGGCGTTGGAAAGGCTGGTTAGAGGGCTGAAGGCACTTGAAGCACTTACACTCGAGACAATCTTTTCCCCAAAGTCCTGGCTTTTTGCGATAATAGCAGGAACTAGGAGGGTTTGGGTTTTGTCTCGGGACCTTCATTTGCTGGAGTTGAAGGTTAAGGGTTTGAGTGGACTTCCTTTCAGTTGAATAGTCTAGAGTGCAGATGAGTTGGTGGCTAAATTAGCTAAGTCTGGAGTGGGCGCGGTTTCCGGTTCAAGCCTGGTCCTTTTATCTAGAAGGGAAGGATCCCAGTTACGCCTGTTAATGAACACAGAGTTAAAGGCTTCCTGAGTGGATTCGTGACCAAAGCGAACTTGGGTCTGATCGTCCATGCAGTAAAGCCAATCTCCTGACACCAGCGTGTGAGGAAGGAAAGGGCAGCGTTTACTGCAGGCGCTAAGCAAGGAGTCCACGCAGCTAGTGCTCAAAAGACCCAAACTACCTTAACTCTTCCAGGTAAAGGTTGTTGTTGTTTTTTGTTTTTTTGTTTTTTTGCGGTACACGGGCCTCTCACTGCTGTGGCCTCTCCCGTTGCGGAGCACAGGCTCCGGACGCACAGGCTCAGCAGCCATGGCTCACGGGCCCAGCCGCTCTGCGGCATGTGGGATCTTCCCAGACCAGGGCACGAACCCGCGCCCCCTGCATTGGCAGGTGGACTCTCAACCACTGCGCCACCAGGGCAGCCCCAAGTAAAGGTTTTTAAAGACAGGGTGAGGGAGGAGGGTTGTGGGGTGTGTGATCAGCTCGTGGACATTTTATTCTTTTAATAACTTTACTGATTTTTTAAAAAAAAATTATTTTTGGCCACGTTGGGTCTTCATTGCTGCGTGCGGTCTTCCTCTAGTTGCGGCGAGCGGGGGCTACTCTTTGATGCAGTGCTCGGGCTTCTCATTGCAGTGGCTCATCTTTGTTGCGGAGCATGGGCTGTAGGCACGTGGGCTCAGTAGTTGTGGCGCACGGGCTCAGTAGTTGTGGCACACGGGCTTAGATGCTCCGTGGCACGTGGGATCTTCCCGGACCAGGGCTCGAACCCGTGTCCCCTGCATCAGCAGGAGGATTCCTAACCACTGCGCCGCGAGGGAAGTTTGGACATTCTCTGATGGGCTGGTGGTGAGGTTATTGGGAGTCAGCATCATCAACCTTCTGGTTCCAACCGGTCTGGGGTCTACATGCTGGAGGGACGGAATACAGTTAGCTTCTTCCACCTGGTGGGGTTTTCAGTATCTGCAACACAGCTCAAGAACATGGCTCAGAATGTTATCTATAGCCCTTGAGGAGGAACTAAAGGTCCTTGGCTTTGTTTAATGGCTAAACTATTGTTTTTTGGTATTGTTTGTTTTTCTTTCTTCTGCATTTTCTCACTTCTCTGATTAAATGTACTCTTGGAACTCGGGGAAGGCCTGGGAGACTAAAGGTTTTCTACAGACAAGAGGCAGGTGGAGGACATGGTGGGGGGGAGGGGCTGTTCTGGGAAGGCCCCCATAGTGTCCTGCTCGTGTACAGATTCAGTCTCCAGAGGAAGACCAGAATTTTCTTTAAGGACAACCTGAAGTCGACTAGAATAGCTGTGAACACGTTTGTCAGATCGTTGCCTGCCAGCCTGAATTTTGTTCCCATCAACAAGCTTAGGAAAAGCTTTTGAAATGTTCAGTAAAGATCTCCAGCAAGTCCCCATGCCTGTCAAGAGTCAGGGTCTGTTTTTCCAAATCCCTTCCAGATTCCCACTTGGTTTCATTCAGTATGGGGCCTGACCTTCACTAATAAGCCTGTGGATTAATTGATACATATCTGAGAAGCCAGGCTGACAAGTTTGAATCACTAATGTTAAATTCTTCAGCAAACCTATGGGTTTCTCAGTTACTTTCAGAAGATCTTTGGATTTTCTGAATCCAACTGTTAGCCATCTATGCATGGCTAACAATTCAACTTTACTTAGTTCGGGGAACATAAAACACTAGGGATTTAGCATTTGGACCTGCAGAAGGTTTGACTTTAATAAGTTCAGGGGAGGGGGAGTGGGCAGAGGTTTTGAGAAAAAGGGGAGTCTCAGCAGGAGGGTTAAGAGGAGGGGGTGGGAGGCCCAGAGGAGGTGGGGATGGCAGGGGGTGAAGGGAAGGCGGGGCTGGGGGCACAGGGAGGGGAGGGGAAAGGCCTCAGAAGCCATTTCGTGTTCTTTCAAGTGCTTGCTCGCCTCCATTAGTTAGTTTAGAAGTAGTATTTTGTGAAGAGGCAATTTAGAGTCCTGGATATGTTTGGAAGCCTCAGGGTACAAATTAAAATAAGCATCCCAGAAATTCCCTGGCAATCCAGTGGTTAGGGCTCTGTGCTTCCACTGCAGGGGCTGCGGGTTCAATCCCTGGGCTGAGGAACTAAGATCCCACAGGCTGGAAAAAAAAAAAAATCCCACTCAGTCTGTTTAGTTTCAGAGCCATGGCTTTCTGAGTTGATTCTCAGACAAACAAGTTTGGGGAAAACCAAAGTTCCCCACAATGGCCACTAGTGTTCTGAATTATTTCTGGTTAAGGGACCATAGTTTTTTTTTTTTTGCGGTACGCGGGCCTCTCACTGCTGTGGCCTCTCCCTTTGCGGAGCACAGGCTCCGGATGCGCAGGCTCAGCGGCCATGGCTCACGGGCCCAGCCGCTCCACGGCACGTGGGATCTTCCCGGACCGGGGCACGAACCCGCGTCCCCTGCGTCGGCAGGCGGACTCTCAACCACTGCGCCACCAGGGAAGCCCGGGACCATAGTTTTTAAACATGAAACCAGCTGAGGTTCCTGAAGAGGGGCCGTACTTAGGGCATCGAGATGACTGGGATCGCATCTCTCAGAGGATTTCCCGAGAGCAAAAGAGAAACTCCTAAATGACGTGACCCCAAAGAAGTGTTACGAAAATTCCAGCACAGGCTGGGCGGACACACCTCGTGTCTCCTTGTTTTCCAATAAGGAGAACAAACAAGTATTCAGCAAAAGGACAGAGCCTTCCCCAAAAGCCAAAAAACAGAACAGATGGATCCCAGATAAAGCCAGAGAGCTCAACCAGGAGGGCCTGAATACCAGAGACTGGCCAAGGGCATCGGGCGGCAGGGCCGTCAGCCCCCAGGCTTCTCCTTCAGACCCCACTTCTGGACACCAAGTCATGTCCACTTTACAAGTAAAGCAGCTATTAGCTATTTTACCAGCAAGATGAGTTTATCTGGGAATAGCAGAGGAATTAGAATTCAGGACGTGCAAACCACGGCTAACCACAGGCAAGTGCGGAGAAGAAAGCACAGGACCATTACTTTGCGGAGAAAAAGGGGACGTTTCACTTGTGGGAAAGTCCATGGGAGGAAACAGAGTTCAGGGTGGTGACAAGTCTCCTTGGCTGGGCTGTCGCCTTCCTCCTGTCCAGGGATGAGTAGGGGGCCCAGGGGCAAGCAAGCTCCCCCTTCAGGCCTCCCTCAGCTCAGGGCCCCTCCCTGGTGTTTTCCAGGCCTGGCTGCCCACTCCCTCCCAGGGGAGCCCACTGCTTCCTGCTGTCCTGGCTATGACATTTCTGGGCCTCAGGAGGGCTCCCCAGCACGTGCACCTACTGCTCAGCACCTAGGCTTGTCTGAACCCGTTCCAGAAAGATCCTCCCCTCCTGCCCCTTCCCTTCTAGGGGTCGTCCCTGGGGTCTCCTCGGGTCTTCTCCCATACACAGCTCTGCTGGCAGTTCCAGCGATGTCCTCACACACCCCTCCCTGCAGTGAGTTACCAGGGAAACGCTGGCATCTGGAGGATGCATGTGCAGGAGGGCGAGTCACAGGCTGTCAAACCTGAGGGCACAGGAGCCCCCGCCCCCCAAGACCTGGTTCAAAGGGCATGTTCTGGGCCCGCCCCCAGGGTGCCAGCCCCACTAGGTCACCTTGGGCTCCCCTGAGACCCTGGGAAAGAGCTAGACGGAGCATGGGGCAGATCCCTGGGTGGTCCAGAGCGGGGTCAGCACAGCCTGTGGGCTCTTGTCCCCTCAGGGCGCAGCCGGCTGCAGCCCCTGGATGGACGCGGCCCTGGGAACAGTCGGTGTTGCTCCCACACGTGTTGGTCAGAAACTGCAGTCAGCAGGCCGGGCGGCATCACAGCGCCTCGTGTTTATTGGGAATCCCCACATTCTGTGGAAAATCGAGGGTCTGCCGTCTTTCAACTCAATTGCTTCACTAGCGGCCGTCTGGGTTAGAGATGGTGGGGGCGTGTGGCCCTCAGGGGAGCAGGAGGGAGGCCCGTGTGGCGAAGGGACCCACCGACCGCGCTGCCCCCGAGCGCTAGGTGGGCACAGGGGAGCCTCACCTGTGAGAAAGGGCTCAGCACAAGCAGGGTCTCCTGGTCACAGTGTCCTAGCATCACGGAAGATGTAAACATTGCAGGAAACCCAGTGCAGGGTAGCCCGGACCCCTCTGTGCTACGTGTGAAACTTCACGTGGAAATAGAAAGCGTTTTCAAAAGCGAGCTGCTTCAGCAGTTTACCCCACTAACTGTACTTGTGTAGCAAAAAGGTTGCCGGGTGCCCCTGTGTGGCAGTCAGGAGCCCCTGGGCCGCGGCGGGAGCCTCAACCTCGGCCTCCCCCTTGGCGACCCTCCGCTGCCCCAGGCCCTCTGCTCGCCTGTGGAGCAGCGGGGAGAAGGAAACTAAGGCACAAGGTTCGATTCTGAGGCTTGAAAAACGTGGCAGCGCCTGGGTGGATGCAAAGTCGTCCTGTGGGCCTTGGGCGTGGCCCTGACCCCGCCGGCACGCCCAGGTTGGGAGGCGTGGACGCAGCCACCGTCCACTCCAAGTCGCTAGAGGGATCACCGCCTCTGAACCCACCGCCGGACAGCATCCTTCCCGGGGGAAAGCACTGCTGCGCGTGGACTGTGGAGCGGCGAGGGGGCGGGCGGCGTCGGCTGGGCAGGCTGCGTTTTATGATGCGCTCCACGTCAGCAGGAAGAGGCCGGTGCCGCCTGCTGCTCTCCAGATGGGACATCGGGCACTGGCACCCAGAGCAGCCACGTCAGGGGCAAGAGACCAGAGCCAGCTGGTTTCTCCCTGCCTCGGCCAGGCTGCCGGGGTGCAGCAAGGGGGCCACGGCCCCAGAGAGCAGGGGCGGAGTGTGAGCCCCGGGATCCGTCAGCAGCTGCCGGCAGGCTGGGCGGGGACGGCGCTCCCCTCCTGGTGAAACTCCAGACTAATCAGCCACCACGGGAGCCCCCGGCACCGGCATCAGTCCCACTGGTTCCTGGGGGCCGAGGCCTCGGGCGGAACTCGAGAGAACTCAGTGCCAGGCGTGCAGGCCAAGCTTCCGGAGAGCCATCCCGACCTGCTGTCGGTCTCAGCCGGGCGGGGAAGGGGGCTGGGCCTCGGCCCCTAGGTTCAGCTGCCAGGGAGGGAGGGGCAGCCGCTTCCAACTTGTCGCCCTGTGAGGGGAGGACACTGTCCTCATCTCTGCAGAGAAGCGCGGGGCGGTTGCTGCTTCTCACCGTGCGGCTTCGCCTGGGGCCGGGGAGCCACCATGCCGTCCTGCCCCGTCCTGTCCCGTCAGGCCTCAGCTCAGGCCGGAGCGGCTACACTCCCTCGGGCCCCCATCAGCCTCCTCTGAGCCCCACTGCGCAAGGTCCTGAGTCCCTCTGCCTGCGGCCTGGACCCCACAGCAGAAGCAAAGCCAGAGAGGCCGAGTGGGCCCACAGCGGGCCTGCGGTCACGGGCCCAGGGGAGCGGGAGGCGGGACAGTTCCCACCCTCTGTGGTCCATGTTCTCAGTCAGAAACTCAGAGAAGCCTGCTTTCCTCCTTGGAGCCCAGGCCGGGGCTGCTTCCTCAGCCTTGGGGACCCCGGGGCCGGCAGGTCTAGGAGGGAGTCAGGCCTGCAGTGTCCTGGCCGTGTCCACGTCCAGGATGAGTGGGGACCCGAACTCCCGGCCTCGCAGGTACACCTCCAGTCCCTGGAAACAAGCAGGTCATGATGCCCAGGTATCCAGCCCCTGGGCTCCGGGTGAGATGCCAAGTCAGCCTGGAGTCAGCGAGGGGCAGGGGAGAGAGGCTTCTAGAAACAAGGCTTGGATGTCCTGAGACCTCAGGTCAGGGAAAGCCGTCCCCCAGTGCAAGCCAGAACTTTCCAGAGAAAGGGGAGCCAGGTCTCCTGCCCCAGCGACGTTCCCACCGGCCCAAACCCCAGGCTCCGATGAACCTGGCTTGTCCTCCCTGACCCCTCGAGGCTTCTCGACACCTCACCGCAGCCCACGTCTCGGAAAGTCCTCTGCAACTAAGGGGCCGCTTACCCCGCTCGTCGACTGAGGCAGAGGTATGATTTCCCACCAAGCTCCCAACCCGCCCCCGTCCTCTGACCACACAAGCGCGACCCCAGAAGAGCCCCAGATGGGCCTGGCGGCTCTCACCTCTCCGGAGTATGACACCAAGGGCGAGATCTCGCAGATGGCCGGAGGCTCTCCGCTGCCGGGTGGGCTGGGGGGTGCACTTGTCAGCATCTGCTCGGGGGTGCGTACCCCAGGGCCCTCCCCTGCCCTCCCACACTGGCTGGCCCAGTCCCCACCCAGCCGGGCTGTCCACCACACCTGCCGCCCTCCTCGCGGACAGCTGGGCCCCGGGCACCGACCCCACCCGAGCAGCAGGCTCTGACTTAGGCTGGAAAACCCTCCTCGCCCCTCGCAGGCATCTCACACAGAGCCCGGGCAACCAGACTTAGGGGGCGGCCGCTGACAATCACAGAAGGAGACACCTAAGGTCTTATTCTTTCTGCACCCTGAAAAATGACCTGGTGCCGCTTTCTGGATGTCACGCCTGGGTCTTGGCTTCAGAGCTTCTGATGAGCAGGGAAGGCGTGACCCCCATGTCCCCTGGGGCTCTGAGCAGAGCTTGAGGGCCGGGCACACAGCCATCTGCCTTTGGTGTGGGGCCGGGGCGGAAGTGCCCACCCCAGCTCAGACCACAGCACAGCCAGCAGGGCCCTGGGGCTGGGGCTTGGGCCACAACACCCTGACATCCCATCCTTCGGGTCGCACCCTGCAGCCCACGCTCACCTGGGCTGCTCGGGGAGCCGGGCCCCGTGTGTGTCCAGGAAGTGGGCTCCCGCCTGCAGGGCCCACCGGTGGTGCTGAGCGAGCAGGGCCCGCCGCGCTGTGGAGGGGTTGTCTCTCTCAGCCGAGTCAGCGTTCTTCAGAGGGGAGAACTCCTCTCGCCGCAGCACTTGGAAGGCCACGAAGTTCCTGGGAGGGCGGGGACGACAGCTGGGGACCCAACCTCCCAGCCCAGACGCCCTGGTCCTGGGCAGGTGAAGGCCAGGCCGGGCGACAAGGACTACGTGGGGGTCTGGTCTGCAGGCAGCAGGCTGGGGAGGGCCCCGCAGGCACCGCGTGAGTCTTTGTTCCTGAGATTCCGGAGCTGCCCTTAGTCCTCCCTTCCCTCCCCTTCCCACCAACCCCATCCCAGAACCTGGGACCCCAGGGTGAGGGCCACATACCCTGGGAGTCCCCAGCAACCTCGCCTGGAAACAGCTTCCTAGCTCCCGGCCAGGGGCAGGTGGAGGGCTCAGGAGAGAACATGGGTGCCCCCCAAAGTCCACAACCCCAAGGGCTCCAACTGCCCCAGACGCTCCCTGTGCTCCCACCCCAGGGGCTGCTTCTTCTGGCCTTCTTGCCCTGAGACCCGCCTGCAGCCCCCCAGCTCCCCCCTGCAAAAGGGCACTCCCACTGTGAAGCCCCCAGCCTCCACTTCCCTGCCTGGCTGGGCCTCAGAACCACCGCCAAGTCAGGGAAGGGAAGGAGGAAGAAATGAATGACTTCTCCACTAACCTGGCAAACGGCAGCACGTCAAACACGAACTTCTCCATCTTTATCCCGTTGGGCTCGAGTGGCTTTACTGGATTCCCTTGCTCATCCACGTAGGGGACCTTCTTCACAGCCACGTGTGGCTTCAGCAAGGGCTCGAACTCCCTGGGGGACAGGAGGCCAAGGGGAGGAAAGACACAGCTCAGACAGGACATCCTGAAGCCCCAGCCCACCTCCCCCATGCCCGGCCAGCCGGGGTAGGTGGACAGATGGACACAGCAGGCACAGGGCGGTGGGGGCTGAGCCCTGTCTCTGGAGGGCCAGGCATCCTCATGCACCCCGGCCTGAGAGCTGGGCACCATCGGCCACATCCCTGCCCAAGCCACGGGGTGGACGTGGTGCCTACGGGCAACGGCCCCCTCCCGGGAGCAGGGCCACGCCCACTCGGCCACAGCCTTGTACCAGATACTGGAGCGCTCTGCTGCCTCCAGCTTGTCTGAGCGCAAGACCCTTTCCGTACCGCACCCCACAGCCCCACCCAGCTCAGGTCTGCCCCCAGTCCCTGTGGCCCGGCTGGCCGCCCTGCACACCTGGTGGCCATCTGGAGGAAGTCTCGCGTGAAGAAGTGGTTGCAGATGTTGCCCGCGTTGTAGAGCAGGCCCCCTCCGGGCGCACGCAGCCGGGCCGTCTCGGGGCTGATCTCGCTGTACTCCACCACCTGCGGGACGCCGTCTACCTGGCACACCACACCCACCGGCTCCTCGGGGGACGCCTTTTCCACCACCTGCGGCCGCCACGAGCGGACGGGCGGGGACAGCTGACTGGGTCGGGCCCGGCGTGCGGGGGAGGAAGGGGCGGGGCCCGGGCCTGGGAGGAGGGCGGGGCGCGGAGGGCAGGGCGGGGCGCGGAGGGCGGGCGGAAAGGAGAGGCGAGGGCGACGCGAGGGGGCGGCAGGCTCACCTTGGCTCCACAGTCGGCACCCCGCAGCACGCAGAAGCCGATGAAGACCGGGTCGGCCAGTCGCACCAGGATGTTGTCCACACAGTACACGTGCACAAACTCTACTCCGCGCCGCTCCATGTCCTCTAAGACCTGGTGGTCCGCCAGCGCGCAGTACAGGCCCCCGTTGCCATCTGCAGAGGGAGAAAGCAAAGGGTCTTGGAAGGGCTCCTGCCGGCCTCAGCCAGCTAGTTGAGGGCGCGCTAGAGGCAGGCGAGGGCCCCTGGGGCTGGGCCTTGTGCCTGAGGCCGCTGTCTGTCGCCATCCAAGTAGCCCTGCGGCTGTTCCACGTGACAGGAGGGAATCAAGGCCCAGAGAGGGAAGGCCACTGGCTCAGGACCATGCGGCCTCTGTCCCCGGCCTCCTGACCCCCAGCCAGCTCCACGTGGTAGGCCTGGCGGACCCTCCCTGCCGCAGGGATGGGGGGGTGTACCTGGCGCCATGGCAACCTTGTCTTTCTGCTCTAGGATGGCCCTGCCATCGAAGGTCACAGCAGGCAGCATGCGCTGTTCAAACATGACCACGTTGTTGGGGTCCAAGTGGAAGAAGTCATGCTCCTTGAAGAACTTGGCTGTGGGCTCCAGAGTGAACTCACTGGTCATGATGTACCTGCAAGGGGAGGCAAGCCTGAGCCAGGCTTTTGGAGGGCCTGGCCCCTCCGGTAGACGGGCTGACATCAGGGTGCAGCCTTAGGGCAGCGGTCAGGCCTCCGCCTGGGTGGGTGCTGGGCTCTGTCCGGGGCTGTGCTGGGGTTGGGGTTCAAGTCTTGGTGTAGAACAGGGCTAGGGCTACACGGGGCGGATCACTCTGGGGCCAGGGTAAAGCAGGAGGGCACACCAGGGCACGGTGCAGCGGGTCCCATAGCGCTCGCCAGCCAGCTGCTCCACCCGCCGAATCCGTTCTGCCTGCAGCTGATACAGGGTCTTCTGGCTGGGCAGCCCCACCTGATACATGCCCTTGGGGTAGGTCACGCCCAGGCGAGTGCCCTGCCCACCAGCCAGCAGCAGCACAGCCACCTTGTTCAGGGCGATCTGGTGGAAACCTGGGGGCATGGGGCGCCATGAGGGGATGCCTGGAACCCGTCACACAACCACCCTTTCGTTTGAGAGCAAACCAAACTTGTGCCTGGGACGGTGAGACGTCTGATAGTCGCAGAACAGAACGATCCAGATAACATTCTGATTTGGGCCTGGGCCTCACCCAAACCTAACCCTGCCCCGGCCCCGCCGAGGCACTGACCATATCCTCCTGGGTTCACTGCCAACATAGGTCCTCCAGAGGAAACACCAGGTGGGCCTGGCCGGAGTTGTCCAGCAGGGGCCTTGGGCAGGCTCCCCTGCAGGAGCGACTGCCTCCCCTCCAGGCCAAGAGGCAAAGGGCGCAGCTGCGCCGGCGCTGGTGTGAAAAGGAGCGTGTGCAAGTGTCTAATGGGTCCCCTGCTGTCAATACGTGGGCTGGGCAGCTGGCCATCCAGGCGTGCCCAGCACAAAACACTCTCCCCAGGGAGTGCGGCCTAGGGGCGGCTGCCAGCATGGCAGCGTTCGGGGGCTCCAAACCCCAGCCCCGAGCTGGTGCGTGTGAGAGCGTCGATTTCACGAAGGAGGCAAACTGAACTCCAAGTACCCCCTCCCCTGTCGCCCCGCTCTGTGGGCGAGGCCGCCTTCCGGAGGCTGGGGCGCCCGCCGCCTGGACCTCCGCCCCGCCTACCTTCCTCCTCCCAGAGCCGCCGCGTCTGGGGGGCGACCCCGCTCGCGCAGCCTACGCGCTCGGGAGGCAGGGGCCGCAGGCGCGCGGCCAGGTCAGGCGCGGGGGCCGGAGGGCGCGCGCAGGCGGCGGCCGCGCGCCGGCAGTGCTCGCGCAGCGCCTCGGGCTCCAGGAGCTCCAATTGGGCCAGCAGCGCGGCACGCGGGCCCGGCGCCAGCTCGGCGCAGAAGCGCAGGAGGTGCTCCTGGCCGGCGCGCTGCAGCCGGGCGCGCACGTCCAGCTCCGAGGCCATGTCGCCGCCGCCGTCGGCCGCGCTGGCACTCGTGACCCGCGCTCTCGGACCAGCGTCACGGGACTCGGCGGGCGGTGCCGACCCCAGCTGGGCGGGCCCGGGGCGCCCCGCCTTGACCCCGCCCAGGCCCAGCGCGGCCGGGTCGCGGACCCCCGCCCGCCCCGCCTCTTTTCGGCCCCGATCCCGCCCCGGTCCCGCCCCCGATCCTCCCCGCCTCTCTTCGGCCCCGGAGGCCACGCCGAGCCCCGCCCCTGCCCACTGAGGCGCTGGAGGACTGACTTCAGTTCTAATTCACCAACCTGCCCACAGCCCTGGGGGGCGGGGCACCCGAGGGAGAGGCTAGAGTCTGTCCCTGCCCGTGGACCTGTTTGCATTTACCAAGACGCCTGGCGCCGGGGACAACAGTCCGGGGCTCAGTGAAGAGGCCAGCCGACTCACGGCTGGGCTGGGGAGGACAGAGCCAGATCACCAGCAGGGCTGGGTGCCACCCAGCAGGGCCACCCTGCCTCCTTGGGGGCTCCCTGCTTCACATCCTCCCTCCTTCCCCTTGCCACGTGACCGGAACCGCGCAGGAGCTGCCCCTCACCCTGCCTTGTTACTTAGCTATATGGTTTTAAACACCTTGCTGTTTACAAACTCCCTTGTGAAAAATATGAAAGAGTAGCTTCAGCCACTTGAAGACAAAACTTTCTTTTAGAAATGAGTTTTATTAAGTCTGAAAGTAATACATGCCCATGGTTAAAACAAGTTCAAATGGTGCTTTAGGACCCAAAATGAAAAGTAAGATCTCCCCCAGCCTGTCCCAGGGAACCTGTGTTAAGGCCCTTGCCTCTCCTGGCAGGCAGGTTCTGCCCATAGAGCCCCACCCCTTCCACTACCCTTTCTGGGTTAGGACGTGGCGCTTCACAGCCTCCTGGGGGCCCACTGTACCTTCTCCTGGACCTGAAAGAAGTCAGCCTGCCTCAGGGCCTTTGCACCTGAATGGCTCTTCCTCAGAAAGTCACGTGACTTTCTGCCCCACTTTGCCAGATCTCGCCTCACAAGTCACAGTTGGAGAGACCTTCCCATCCTCTTCCGTTCCTTCGTGCCTTTCTACATTCTTCCCTGCCTGACTTCCTGATGAGAAGTAACCCCCATGAGAGCTGGATGCTGTCTGGTTCACTGCTCTGTCTCTCACTTTAATTTTTTTTTTGCGGTACGCGGGCCTCTCACCGTTGTGTCCTTTCCCATCGCGGAGCACAGGCTCCGGACGCGCAGGCTCAGCGGCCACGGCTCACGGGCCCAGCCGCTCCGTAGCATGTGGGATCCTCCCGGACCGGGGCACGAACCCGCGTCCCCTGCATCGGCAGGCGGACTCCCAACCACTGCGCCACCAGGGAAGCCCTGCCCTCACTTTAGATCCACGCCCAGCACACAGTGGACACTCCGTCAGTGTTTGTTAACGGAACGAACGTGTTGGACCCCAAGCCTAGCACAGTGACTGGGCCACACAACTGGTCGAGAGCGCGTGCTGAATGAGTGGATGGCCTGCTCCTGTAGCCTGTGGCAGAGAAGGGCGGCCCGGGGCAGATGCTGGAGCTGGACGTGAAAGGCAGGGAAGCAGGGAGCAGAGCAGGCTCCACACCCCAGGCCAGAGTCCACCCAGCTCTTACTGCCCCTGCACACGTGCCCTGGAAGGCAGGTGTCAGAACATCAACTTGGGGTCCATCTTGGTCAGGGTAACCCCTAAATCCTACCTCAAGGCGTGAGTGAAAGTGAGATCAGCAGGGTTGGGACGATCGGGGCTGGGAAGCCAGAGGCCCCTGCAGGGCCAAGAGCGCGGGAGCTGACCCACCCGGGCAGCCGGGGCGCAAACACGCGGGAGGCAGGGGCGGGCGACAGCTTCCCGGACCCCTGCCAAGGGCACACTTGTGGCCGTGAAGCCACCTTTCCTTTGGACTAGGGCCTAGTCCAAAGGGTTCGGGGGAGCAGGACCCCAAGGCCAACAAGGGTTCCTGGTTGTCACTGTGGGAGTGGAGGCCAGAGAGCCCTGGGGTCCGCTCCGGACTGGAGGCAGGTGCCTGTCCCTCCTCCCACACCCCGTGCTGGCTGGGGACAGAGGGGCCCAGGGCCCCTGCCCACTCCAGGGAGCTCCAGGCTGGCACAGTGAAAGGTACAACTGAGGTGGCTACCTCAAAAAGTTTAAGGGCCGCAGAGCACCTGCCTTGCCTGGGGCTCTGGGAAACTGCCCCAGGTGACAGCAAATCTGAAAGCTGCTGCTGGGAAAGTGGGCCAGGCTGGAAAGCAGCTTGGAAGGAGGAAATGATCAGACTTCAGGATAGGAAGGACACGGGGGCCACGTCTTAGTCCCACGCCCAGAGCTGCCACTGATTCCAATTGCCTCCATGGCTTCCTCCAGTGCCTAGCCCGGGGCCACGGAAAGCCCACAGACCAAGGGCCAGCGGGGGCCACCTTCCGCACAGCCCTAGATGCCCTGAGAGGCCTTTGCTTCCTCAACACAGTGGGCGCAGGCTCACGAGGGCCCTAGTCTCGTCTGGGTCCCGCTGGCCACGTGGCCCTGAGAGGCAGCAGTACCACTCGCTGTCCGCTGTCCGCCGGCCGCCGGCCTCCACACCCGCACTGACCCCCATAGAGCTGTCCCCAGGCCTCCCCCTCGCACAGGCCTCGCCCTGGCTTGGCATCCCACACAAAGATGCTCTTTCTGCTGCGACCTCCAGGGTGGTTTCCACGGAGCCCCACTGAGGACCAGGCCCTGCTTCCAGAGAGCACAGGGCGCAGCCAGGAGCAAACAGGAAGGGTGTTCCTGGTAGGAAAGCCACCAAGTGCAAAGGCCCAGAGGTGAGGGAATGCTGGTACCCTAAGGATAGGGGAGTGGGGTGGGGGGGTGTTGCTGGAAGCAGAGAAGGAGGGGGGAGATGAACTGTAGGACAAATGGCTTGAATGCCCCCTGGGACTTTGGCTGGTCCTGACACTTTGGGAAGACAGGGACGGACCAGTCTCCATGGGGTGACTCCAGGCTCACAGCTTTCTAGGTAACCCCCAGATTCCTTACCACAAAAGAGTCCTCACTTTGAGGGGTAACCCCAGGGGAGAAATGGACCCAGGACACTCCCTGGCCAGGGCAGCTGCCCTTACAGCCCGAGACACAGACCAGTGCCTGGGGCCCAAGGACACAGAGACCCAGGTAGGCAGGCCAGCCAGAGGGTGGAGCCGAGCCCTGTGCCAGCAGCCTGTCTGGAGGAGGTGTTTGGCGACTCTTTGCTGTTTTACCCCTGAAGGCGGACAGTCTGCTTCTGAAGCAGCAGATAACACATGTGCAGTGTTCAGTGGCAAGGTGCCAGCTGCATGTGGAAAACTGTCAGGGGAGGGGAGGGAGCAGGGCAGGGTCTGAGGACAGGCTGTGGTGAAGGCAGGGGTCCCAGGGGGTACTTCCCTGGTTTGGGGGAGGGGTTCCACCGGTTGGTCCTGAGATGGCCTCCCAGAGCTGGACTGCAGGCTAAGCCCTGTCCCCTCCCAGACTGACCAGATGGAGTGACCACATCCTGGCTAGAAATGAAGCCAGAGGCAGTGGTGGCGGCGGTACACACGGCTGCCTAGCTGGCCTGAGGAGGCCATGAGAGCCCTAGGAGCAGCTTGAGGAAGTGACCAGCCAGAGTAAGGGGCCGGAGCAGAGGACCTTGCGAGCAGACGGGAATCTGGGGACACGGGAAACGTGGCTTTGTCCTGCAGCCGACAGGAAAGGCCAGGCTATCCCCAGGGGCCAGAGGAAAAGCTAGCAGCCGTGGGGACAGAGAGGCCTCTGTGAGGGGAAGCGCCCAGCTGGCTGGAGCCCACAATCCTCTTGGGGCCCGCCTGGCGCAAGAGAAAGGAGCCCCAGGGTTGCGCCGGGGGACCCTCAGCGAAGAGCGCCCGGGGAGCTAGAGGGGGAAGGTGGGTGTCAGGAGGGCTGTGCTCCCCATCCATATCCCAGGAGGCCACCTGGGGACAGGTTTTCTGCAGGGCGCCTGGCCCCGCCCTTGGGAGGTGGGTTGGGCGGCCAAACCCCACAAGGGCGGAACCGCGGCGGGAGGGCTGGTGTGGTGGGGGTTGGGAAGTATAAGGGGGCCGCTCAGGGGTCCCTCCCCCACCCGCGAGGTCGGGAGGGAGGCAGAGTTGGGGGACCCAGCCCTCTACTGGCCGGGGGCCTCCGCGCGAGGCTCCGACCCCTCCGCTCGAAAATCAAACCGGGCTGCCGGCCTCTCAGCCAATCGGAGAGGAGATGGGTCAGCCTCGGCCAATGGCCGCCGCGAATGCTAATGAGCGCTGACAACGCGAGGAAGCCCATTCAAAAAGTCGCAGCTATTGTCGCGACGGGTTGCGTGCCGCCGGGCCCGCCGTCGGGGCGCGCGGGGACGGACTCTGGGCCACGCGGGGACCAGCCCGGGGCAGGCCGAGGACCGAGGCGTGCCGGCGGGCGCCCATGGCCGGAGCCGCAATGGCCGAGCCCGGCCGCGGGCCGCCTTCCGCGCCCGCGCCCGGCACGGAGGGTCTGCCGCGCGCCTTCTTGCAGAGCCTGCGCACCCTCTTCGACATCCTGGACGACCGGCGGCGCGGCATCGTGCACCTGCGCGAGATCGAGTCCCGCTGGCAGGGCGCCGACGCTCGCGAGCTGCCCCGCGGCGTGCTCGAGGGCCTGCGCCAGGTGGCCCCGGCCAGCGGCTACCTGACCTTCGAGCGCTTCGTGGCCGGCCTGCGCACCTCACTGCTGAGCGCCGACGGCGGCACGCGGGCCCCGGCGCGCGCCCCGGCCCGAGGAGGCTGCCCGGCGCGGCCCGGGGGGCAGCCGCCGCCGCCGCAGCGCCTGGTGTTCGCGCCGGCCGACGAGCCGCGGACGGTCCTGGAGAGGAAGCCCCTGCCCCTGGGCGCGCGCCCCCCGCCGGCCGGTCCGGGTGGCGCGGCCCGGAGCCTAGAGAAGCTGTGCAGCCCGGCGGAGGCGGCGCCCGGCCCGGAGGAGCCCGAACGGCCCCAGGGCGCGGCGCTGGAGCGGAGCCCGAACACGGACGCTGGTGAGTGCGGGGCGGACCCCGGCCCCGCCTCGTAGCTCCCCTCGCCGGCGCACCGAAGAGGTGCTGCCCGAGCATCTCCCAGCGGGGGGACAAGAGCGGACAGCTCTTCATCGGCTTCTGAGCCTGGTACACACCTGGCGGCCCGGAGGGGAAGAAACCTCGTCCCCATGCCGGTGTGCTCAGGGACCCGGGCCAAGGGGCTGGTGGGTGACTCAGCAAACCCCACCAGGAACCCACTCTGTACCAAATCCTAGCGGGGCACCGGGGAACCTGTCCAGTATGAGGGGGCTCTCCACCTCCAGTAACTGCCCACACCTGGGGACACCTGGGCCCTTGGGCTCACCTGGTGAATTAGGCAGAGGCAGTTCTCACTGGCGTAGAGCGAGGACCCCCAGACTGTGAAGGGCCCTTGCCGCCTTCTTTAGTCCCTCTCAGTCTGACGGCTCCGCCAAGGGGCCTGGGCCCGCTGCCCCGCTCTGAGGCCAGGGCAGGCAGGAGCTGCCAGAGGTGGTGCAGGAGGACCTGGCGTAGCTGCCAGGAAAAGGCAGAGGGGTGTGTGGTCTCCAGCCCAGTTTTCCAGGCCTGGAGCCGTGGCACCTCTGACACCTGGGAGGGACCGACCACAGCCCCTGGGGATGGCCTGGCGTCCGGTCCACTTGGCAGGGACAGGAGATGGCTGAATGGTCCCCTGTTTGTCCCCCAGAGTCTGCCCTGGGAACAAGACCTGCTTTATGGCTGTGGGCGGGGGCTGGGCCCCTCGGCCCATTCAGCCTGTGCAGGTGCAGGCCTTCCACCCGGGCAGCTGCCAGCCCTTTCTGTGCTGCCCACCGCTCTGCCAGCTTCGCTGGACCCCCCCGCCCAGGCTTGGACATATTCCCCAGCCCGAGACTGCCAGCTGGAGCTGCGGCGACCCCCTAGCCTCCCTGGTGAGCTAATCCAGCAGCCCACCCGAGGCTGAGGGCTCCCGCACGCAGGCGCCTCGCTGCCCAGCCTCCCTGTCCCCGAGGTGTGTGTAGGGGGAGTGGGCTTCTGCGTGTGCCTGGCCTGAGTCCAGGGCTGGCGCAATCCACACGGCTGCACAGCTGGAAATCAGCCGTGGGTTTGGGGTTTGGCGGCCTCAGTCCTGTCGTCCCCCCCGGCTTTGCCCTGGTGCCCTGTGTGACGTGGGGTCCCTCACTGCAGCCCTCTGAGGTCCAGGTCCGGGGTCGGGCAGCTGGCTGCTGCCCACCACGGGGCAGGGTTCACATCCGTCCCTCTCTCGGCTTCAGGCCAGGGCTCTCGCTGTCACCTTTTGCAGGCAGAGGCCCAGCCAGGGCGTGTGGCACACTCTTTGGGCGCCAAACCTTGAGCTCCAAGAGCCCCCAGCACCCCGGGAGGAGAAAGGCCTCCATGCGCACAGCTTCCCAAGCCCTCTCAGAGGCCCAGGTCCCGCTTCCTGTTCCCTCTCGGAGCTCAGAGTGCACAGCAGGCCGGCCTGGGCTCCATAAGTACCCGCTGCTCTATCAGGCCCAGACACAGGTGCTGATGCCTCTGCCTGCTGCTCAGCCGCTGGGCGTCCAGCGTGCCGTCCTCTGGGGGTCCCGGGGCTGCCCTGCAGACCTGACAGTGCAGATGAGCCCAGGTGTTCCGGGGTGTCCTGTCCCCCTTCCCCCGCGGTGCCTTCTCTGCTTGCCGGGCAGCCCGGCAGGTTGGAACGTGAACTCGGCCTGCCTGGAGCCTGTCTGCCAGGGCTGGCTGGTGGCCTGTGTGGCCACCTGGTGCCAGTCCTCTGGGCGTGCCCCTAGCAGGCATACCTGTGCCCCCTTCTTGCACCACCCGCCCACCACTGTGCGGGGCGGGGCACAGGGCTAGGGAGCCAGTGGAGGGTGCCCTCCTCACCTGCACCCCACTCCTGCCCTCCTGGGCAGCCCTGCACATACGCCCCCATCCCCCAGGAAAGCCTGCTGGCCCTCCAGGAGGATCTCCCAGGGAAGTACCTGGCTTTCCAGCCCCCAGCCGACTGCAGCTGGCCACATTTGCTGTAGGAGTTGCCTGCTGAGGGCACGGCTGGTGCACACACGCAGGGAACTAACTTTATGCTGCAGTCACCTTCCCGGGAGAAGTCAGGTCTCTGCCACCCATGCCCCACGTTTCTCCTGCGTGAACTCCAGTCACCCTTAAAGGGCCTGGGTGGGCAAGGAGACAGGAGTGGACTCCAGAGGCCGCCTCGCTGTCTCCTACCTAGCAGCCTTTGAGCCCCTGAGGTGCGGGCCCTGGGTGTGCACAGATGAGCCAGAGGAAACCCCTGCCCTCAGGGAGCTCACACCTGAGGCGTGTGTGTGGGGTGTGTGCAAACATGCAGCCTCAGCGGCCACACGGCTGTCCCCAAGGCAGGTGTGAGGGGAGCTTGTGGAGGTCGAGTGGGGCCCAGACCCCAGCCTGGCACCGGCAGGGTGCGGAGGTTCTGAATTGCTGAGGAATCCCGAGGCATGCAGGCCGGCACACCTGGCTCTGCATGGCTGGGTTTTGTTGGCAGGGGGTCCGGGATGGGCCTTTGCGGGGCTGGGGGAGTCAAGCTTGACTTGGCAGGCCTGGAAGTGAGCCAGGCCCTCGCCTCTGCTGCAGATGCAGTGGCCTGCAGGGCCCGGGAGCTGGGCGTGGGGGACGCCCGGTGGGGCCCCCGTGCCCGAGGGGAACGTCGGAGACACACCATCACCAACGGTGTGGACTGCGACCTGGTGAGTAAGGGCCCGGGGGGCTCTGGGGGGCTCTCCATCTTGCCTGGCTTTGGCCTTGGCCCCCAGACATGGCCTGCTGGACCACCCCTCTGCCCGGGAGGGGACAGCTGGTTTCGGATTCTGTGGCAGGAACGTCGGCAGTTCTAAACCCCTCTCCCCATCCTGCTTTGAATCCCCTTGCGGGCCGGCCCGCGGCCAGGTCAGGAAGTCCTTTAGGGGGAACGTTTGGCCCCCTCCTCAGCACTGCGCTGGCCCCTGCCTGCTTCCCTGCTATGGTAGGCCGGCCCAGCAGCCGGGGGCTACCACTCACCGTAAAGAGAGGGGAAGGTTCCCCTGGGGAGGGCTGCGTGGAGGGCCTGAGGAAGGCCAGGGCCCCCCGGAGGAGGAGGCGGGCTGTGCTTCCCAGCGCAGGAGGGCTCACGCGAGTACGGGTGTGCGCACACGGGCCGGTGGGCCCGTTCCTGTGCGGGCTGGGTGAGTTGCGGACATAGACAGGTGCAGGCGGCACCCGCTATTACGCCCGTTGGCATGGCGCGTGCCCGTGTGTCGCAGCTGAAGCAGATGAAGGAGCTGGAACAGGAGCAGGAGGTGCTACTGCAGGGCCTGGAGATGATGGCACGGGGCCGGGAGTGGTACCAGCAGCAGCTGCAGCGCGTGCAGGAGCGCCAGCGCCGCCTGGGCCAAAGCAGGGCCAGTGCCGTGAGTGATGCTGTCCAAGGCTAGGCTGCCCCCCAGCCCCAGGCAGAGTGGCCCTCGCCCAACACACACAGTGATCACCCACCCAAACCCGGGCACCCCCAGCTGGGCACAGTGGCTGTCCCTCCACCTAGAATGCTGGGCCACGCCCCCCCCCCGTGATATTCCCCACCTGCTGCGACACCCCTGGGCTCCCTCAGCTCAGAGCAGTGACTTCCCCCCACCCGTGGGGACCCCCCTCGAGGCATTGGGGCTGACCCTGGCCGGCCTGCGCTCTGACCACCCCTCCCCCACTCTCCTCCCAGGGCTTCGGGGCTGAGGGGAGCCCCCGCCTGCTGGGGCAGCTGCTACCCAAGGTGCAGGAGGTGGCCCGATGCCTGGGGGAGCTGCTGGCTGCGGCCTGTGCCGGAAGGGTGAGTGCTCGCCAGACCAGCTCGGTGCCGCCCTCACCCTTGTCCTAGGGGCTGTGCCAGGGCTGCCAGGCCTGCCTGACCGTGCCCTCCTGTAGGCTCTGCCCTCGTCCTCCTCAGGGCCCCTGGGCCCCGCCCTGGCGCCCGCCTCGCCCGCGGTCCCCAGCTGGCAGCAGCAGACCGTCCTCATGCTGAAGGAGCAGAACCGGCTCCTCACCCAGGTGAGCTGGGGGCGGGGTGCGTGGCCCGGGGCCGGAGGCCGGGCAGGCCCTGACTGCCCTCCTGCCCGCCCAGGAGGTGACCGACAAGAGCGAGCGTATCACACAGCTGGAGCAGGAGAAGTCCGCCCTCATCAAGCAGCTGTTTGAGGCCCGTGCCCTCAGCCAGCAGGACGCTGGGCCCCTGGACTCCACCTTCATCTAGCCGGCCCCAGGCATGGACGAGGGGCCTCGCGGCCTGGCACTCAGCCCTGAGGCTGAAGGCGCCCTGGCCAGCCCGAGCACCGCCCTCCTTCCTCCCTTCCAGTCCGGGCTTCCCTAACCCCAGGATGTCCTGAGACCCCAGACATTGACTCCATCTTGGTCTTGGGGGCCTGACCTGGGGTGGGACTCCATCATGCCAACACACAGCCCGAAGCTGCTCCTGCCACTGTCAGTGGACAGTGGGGGACACCCCCTCGTGTTCACCAGATCTGGGCAGCCCTGGCAGCTGGTGTGTCTCCCCTCCCACCTGGGGTCTCCAGTGGAAGGCACTGATCACACTAGGCTGCGTTCCCAAGAGTGGCCAGCAGAGGGCGCCACATGCGCTGGTGACTGCGGCCTTGGAGGCCCCGCTGTGGTGTCTCAGATGGGGCCCGGAGTAGGGGAACCTGGGGCGGGCTGGGACACCTGCAGGTTCAGTGGGTGATTGGCCCCGGGGGTCCAAAGCGTCTTGCCCCGCTCAAGACTAGGCGGCTGTCCCTCAGTCAGGAGCAGATGGAGGGTGTCCTCTAAGAAGGGGGTTCTGCTTGTGTCCAGTTCCAGGGGAGCCCCGAGGGCATGGTGTTGGGGATTCACTGGATTCATGCCTGGGCCAAAGCTGGCCTGCTTGGTCCTCCCCACGGACCTTAGATGCTAAACAAACGGGCAGACCCAGGCCCCAAGCAGGGTTCAGCCTCCACATCCCCGGCCCCCAGCCCTGCCGGCCCGGGCTCTCCCGTTTCTGGGCTTTGCAAGTGCTCTTCCGTCCCTGGGAACACCCACTTCCTGCTTCACCTGACTGGCTCCTGCCCAGCCCTGCACCTTGGATATAGAGGGAACGAACCGGCAGAGGCTGAAACGGCAAAGGGGGTAGCCTTTGCCCTGAGGGTATCTGCTTTCCCCCTGAGGTCTTCGCGGAACTTGGAAGGCAGGACCAGAAGCCAGTGTCTGCCCCAGGGGTACTGCCCACAGAAGGCGGACCCTTCAGCCGCAGGGTGAGTGTGGAAGAAACCCGCGACTCAGGGAGAGGCCTCGTGGCGCTGGCTTTCCACGCAGGGTGGAAAATGCATCCTATTCATTTGCAGTCTGAAATCAGGCTGCCTGTGCGGCCCTAGAGACCCCAAGGGGAGAATTGTGAGTGGCCCCAGGTTGGCGGGGCCCAGGCGGCTGGTGGAAGCAAACGTCCTCGCTAGAGCAGCGAGTGTTTCTTAGCCACGCACGGGGGATGTCTGGGGCCGCGTTAAGTCTTGGGGGAGCTGTCTGTGCCCCATAGGATGTTTAGCACCACCCCTGGCCTCTATCCACTAGATGCCAGCAACACACACACACACTCAGTTGTGATGACCAAAATGTCTGGACATTGCCAGTGCCAGGGGGCAAAGTTGCCCTTAGCTGAGCATCTCTGCTCTAGAGCAATGCAACTCCACCAGGCCTCAAGGATTTCCTACAGACCAAGTTCCAAGGAAAATGAGCATCTCCAGCTTAAAAAAATTTTCACAAACCCCACAAGGAAAGAATCTACCATGAGAGCCAGCAGAAACAGCAGATTCAGATATTCAATAATCAGAGAACATAAAATGGCTGTGTTTTGTACGCCTGAAGAAATAAAAGAGACCCCAGAAAATACGGACAAGGAATAGTCTTTATAGTTTCTTATTCTGTTAAAAAAAAAGTGTAATCTTTTCTTCTATAAAGGTGACCGATAACATGAAAAAGAGTCTAATAGAACCAGGAATTTAAAATATATAAAAAAAATATATAAAAAAAATATATATAAAGATATATATATATAAATATATATTTTAAATATATATTTTAAATATATATTTAAAACTCAAATGGACCTCAGATGGAAAATTTCAGCATAGCTGAAGGGAGACTTAGTGAATTGAAAGACAGAGCTTAGGAAATGGTCCAGAACACGGCCCAGAGAGACTAGAGTTGAGAAATATGGACGAGAGGAGGATCTTGAAAGATAAGGGGGAGAGGGCTCCTTGTCTGATTGGATTTCCTGAGAGAGAGGCTAGGGAAGGAGGGACAATATATGAAGTTAAACTGGCTTAAATTTTTCCAGAATTGGCTAAAAATATCAATTCTCAGATCCAGGAATCCCAGTGGATCCCAGCCAGGATGAATAAAAAGAAATGACGTTTTCTCTTAAAAGATTGCTAAAGACATTGAGGGAGACATCTCTAACCTTTACTGTGGGGTTGGGGGCAGGTGTGGTTATTGGGGGAGGGGTGAAGAGACAGTTCAGGGAAAACCTTTCCTGGACAAGTTGAAAAGTGAATGGATACCTGAACCAAGCCTCAGATGATGAGTAAGATAGAGGCAAGGGAGCACATGGGTCATTCCAGGAATGGAGAGGTTTAGAAGAGGAAGAGTTCAGGAGGCGTAGAGCCAGGGCACGATGGGCTATGGATGGAGTTTGTACTTTTTCCTGAGCTCTGTTAGAGAGCTATGGAAGGATTTTAGTTGGGGGTTGCATATGTGTGTTTTATGTAGCTTATAGATGTTTGTTATAGAAAAAAACAGAAAATAAAAATAAACAGAAAAAAAAATTGTTAAAGAATCCAGAAACAGAAAAACAATTTGCTACAAAAGAGCTGCCGCAGTGACATCAGAGGCCAGAGAGAGCGAAATGCCGTCAGTGGCTGAGATTCTATACGTAATTATTAACCTAGAGGCCCACGTCCCGAGAAACTGTCTTTTGAGGGTGAGGGCAAAATAAAAACATGTTCGTACAAAGTTGAGAGTTTACCACCAACAGCACTTGACTAAAGGAAATTCCAGAGAAGGATTTCAGCGAGAAGGTACAATTCAAGAAGGAATCGTAGACCGGGGTGAGTTAGTATCTGTGGCTGCAGAACGAGGCAACTTAAAACTTAGTGGCTTAAGGCAACATATTTTCTTGCCGTTTCTGTGGGTTAGGAGCTGGGTGGCTCTGGCCTGGAATCGTGTGAGGCTGCGGTGAAGATGATCTGCCGGGCTGCAGTCTCCCCTGATGCCGACTGACAGGCAGGACCCACTTCCAAGACAGCACATCCACACGGCTGTCGGCAAAACATCGCCGTTTCTTGTCTCCGTTGTAACAATAATTATAATAATGATGATGATTTGTGGGAGAGCAGGACAGGACCCAAATAATGTCAATAATGCCATAAAAATGGGGAGGAGTGATTGGAGATAAACAATTCTAAAGTATAATTGTTCAGGGACTTGCCTGGTGGTCTAGTGGCTAAGACTCTGCGCTCCCAATGCAGGGCGCCCAGGTTTGATTCCTGATCAGGGAGCTAGATCCCACATGCATGCCGCAACTAAAGAGCCCAGCTGCCACAACTAAGACCCAGCGCAACCTAATTAATTAATAGTAAATTTTAAAAATTCATCAAGTGTTAAAATAATAAAGTATAATTGATCATAAGGAGGGAAAAGATATTAAATTTATATTTTATTTTATTAAATATGTATGTTACAATGACTGGGAGAACCAGATAAAATAACTGCTATTCGGTGTATACCTTCCAAAGAAGGGAGGGACAGCGAAATGGGGGAGAAAAGGGAAAAGAAGTTCAACTGTACAAGAAAAAAAAATCAGAAAACACATAATAAGGGACTTCCCTGGTGGCGCAGTGGTTAAGACTCCACCTGCCAATGCAGGGGACACAGGTTTGAGCCCTGGTCCGGGAAGATCCGACATGCCACAGAACAACTAAGCCTGTGCGCCACAACTGCTGAGCCTGAGCTCTAGAGCCCACGAGCCACAACTACTGAGCCTGCGTGCTGCAACTACTGAAGCCCGCCCGCCTAGAGCCTGTGCTCTGCAACAAGAGAAGCCACCACAATGAGAAGCCCGCGCACTGCAAGGAAGAGTAGCCCCCGCTGGCTGCAACTAGAGAAAGCCCGTGCGCAGCAATGAGGAACCAACGCAGCCAAAAAGAAATAAATATAAATAATTTTTTTAAAAAAGAAAACACATAATAAGATTGGATATGTTAGTAATCACAATATATGTGAATGGATTAAACTCTCTAGTGAAAGTCATCAGATTGGATTTTTAGAAATTCAGATATAAGCTGTTTTAAGAGACACGCCTGAAGTATGACACCAAAAAACAAAAGCTCAAGGAGTTGCATTAATATAAAACAAAATAGATTTTAAGGCAAGAAACATTAGTAGTGTTGAAGAGAGTAACTATCTAATAATAAAATGTTTAATTTACCAGGAAGGTATAGCAACCCTAAAGTTGTCATCATCCAATACCAAAATATAAATCACAAAGACATGCAGACATTCCACCAAGGCGGACACACGGATGGCGTATAAGCATGTGAAGAAATGTTCAATGTCATTAGCCATTAGAAAAATGTAAATTAAAACTACAGTGAGGGCTGCCCTGGTGGCGCAGTGGTTGAGAGTCCGCCTGCCGATGCAGGGGACGCGGGTTCGTGCCCCGGTCCGGGAAGATCCCACATGCCGCGGAGCGGCTGGGCCCGTGAGCCACGGCCGCTGAGCCTGTGCGTCCCGAGCCTGTGCTCCGCAACGGGAGAGGCCACAGCAGTGAGAGGCCCGCGTACCGCAAAAAAAAAAAAAAAAAAAAAAACAAAACTACAGTGAGAATGGCTACGCCCCAATCAGAGTGGCCAACGTGAAACACTGGTAACACTGTGCAGGTGAGTATGGGGAGATGACACTGGCTCACCCACACATTATTGGTGGGAATGTCGAATGATGCAACCACTCTGGAAAATAATTTGGCAATTCCTTTTAAAACTAAAATTGAGGGGCTTCCCTGGTGGCGCAGTGGTTAAGAATCCGCCTGCTAATGCAGGGGACATGGGTTTGAGCCCTGGTCCGGGAAGATCCCACATGCCGCGGAGCAACTAAGCCTGCGTGCCACAACTACTGAGCCCGAGTGTCACAGCTACTGAGGCCTGTGCGCCTAGAGCCCGTGCTCCACAATAAGAGAAGCCACCCAATGAGAAGCCCGTGCACCGCAAGGAAGAGTAACCCCCGCGCGCCGCAACTAGAGAAAGCCCACACGCAGTAATGAAGACCCAACGCAGCCAAAAATAAATAAATTTATTTTTAAAAACCAATAAAATAAAATAAAATTGACTCACCACGTATGATGGTTAATGTCATGTGTCAGCTTCGCTAGGATAGGGTGCCCGATCCTGTGGCCAAACACAGAATTTGCCGTGAAGGTATGTTTTCGATACGACTGACGCTTACTCCAGTGGGCTTTGAGTAAAGCAGATCGTTCCCCATAGTGTGGGTAGGCCTCGTCCACTCAGCTGAAGGCCTTAAGAGAAAAGACTAAGAAACCCCGAAAGGAAGGAAGTCGGCTTGCAGACTGCTTTTGCGCTCAAGGCTGCTGCATCCAGTCTTCCCTGGGTTCCAACCTGCTGACCTGCTTTGCAGACTTCAGACTTGCCAGCTCCTACAACCGCATGAGCCAATTCCTTAACATAAATCTGTTTCTCTCCCTCTCTCCTCCCTGCCACCCCCATATGTATATTCCTGTCGGTTCTCCTTCCTTTCTCTGGAGCACCCTAACGCATCATACACACAGCGATTGCATTCTTGGGCATTCATCCCAGAGAAACGAAGACTTATTTTCACGCAGGAACATGTACATGATTGTTCATAGCAACTTCACTGGTAGTAGCTCCCAACTAGACACTGCTCAAATGTCCTTCCTTCTATGGGTGACTGTTTGAAGAAACTATGGTCCATCCACGGGATACAAATCAGCAATGAAAAGGAAGGAACTATTGATAACACAGCAACATGGATGCACCTCAGGAAAATTATGCTGGGTGGCGAAAGCCAATCTCAAAAGGGTACATTATGTGTGACCCATGCATGAACCAACCGGGAGATAACATGATTATGGAGATGGAGGGTGTGGGTTGGCTGAAGGGCGGTGTGAGGGGTCTCGTGGGGATGGGTCAATTGAATTTCTTGGTTGCCGTGGAGGTCCCATAAGGCTACACGTGTGGTAAAATTGCAGAGAGCTACACACACAAATGAGTGCAAGTAAAACCAGTGAAAGAGAAGCACGCTCCTTAGGTTGCACCAGTGTCAATGCCTTGGCTTTGCTATTGTACGATATGTTAAAAGAATCTGTCTATCTATACGGCAAGACTTATCAGAACTATAAAGAAAAATTGACAGACTCACCATCACAGTGAGAAATTTTAACATATATCTCTTGATAATTGATAGGATATAGTAGATTTGAACATTATTGGTAATGTTGATCTAATGGACAAATCCAGACCGAGACACTCACTAATTGGAGAATTCTTCTCAAGCACACGGAGAGCATCTATAACTATTCATGACCACATGCTGGGCCCAAAAGGCAATGCAACAAATATCGGAAGATTGCTCTCATGCAGACTACATGATGCAACCACGATGCAGGTACCTTAGAAAACAGCCCAGACTTTTGGATATTAAAGCACACACACTTCCCCCCAAAAAACAAAACCAAAAGAAACAAAAAAAAAAAAAGGGGAGGAAAAAAAGAAAAAACACACAAAAAATAAAAAACAGGAAAAAAAAATTTAAAAAAGGAAAAAACCCACACCCACATCTAAACAATTCATACATCAAATAAGAAATCACAATGAAAATGAAAAAAAATTATCTAAATGAATATAAAAAGAGTGTGCCTCAAAAGCAGAGACCAGAGGGAAATGTATATAGACACTTAGATACATCAGGAAAGAAGAAAGCCTTGTAAGAAGTGAATTAAGCATTGAACTTCAGAAGTTGGAAAAAGAAATAGAAATAAATACAAAGAATATAGAAGAAAGAAATTATAACACATTATATTAAAATATTTTTATTGACTATATATATGTACTTGACACATTTTTTTTGGCCACGCTGCGTGGCTTGTGGGATCCTAGTTTCCCCACCAGGGATTGAATGCGGGCCCTTGGCAGTGAACATGGAGTCCTAACCACTGGACCACCAGGGAATTCCCTGACACTTTTCTTGATGCTGGGGAACATCCAAACAAAAGAGACACGAAAACTCCTGCTCACATAAAGTTATATTTGAGTAAGAATAATAAAGGTTAGAGCAGAAATTAGTGAAATAGAAAACAAACACACTTTATAGAAAACATCCATGAAGGCAAAGACTTGATTGAGGAAACTAACGAAGTGCAGAAGCATCTGCCTGGAATAGTGAAGAATAAAAGAGATAAAAGGCAGAAATAAAATGATTGAGCAATTTAAAAAAATAACAACATATGCTGCAGAAATTAAGTAGATGTTAACAGGATTTTTTTTTTTTTGCCCTGCTGCACGGTATGCAGTATCTTAGTTCCCCGACCAGAGACTGAACCCGTGCCCCCTGCAGTGGAAGCGTGGAGTCCTAACCACTGGACCACTGGGGAATTCCCACTAACAGGATATTTTAAACAAGATTATGCCAATCCATTAGCGGTGGATAAATACCTCATGGTAGATTATGCGTACAGGACCCAAAAGGAGCAAATGATAGAGCAGAAAATGGATACATCTGGACTAATCAAGCACTTCTATGATTTCACTGCAAAGGACTCGTGTCCCCAGTATACATAAAGAATTCCTGCAGATCTATAAGGAAAAGATAAACAATCCCTAGAGAATGAACAAAGATTTGAAAAGATGCCTCATGGAAGACAGGAAAGACTCTATTTCTTCAGTAATCAAGGAAATGACATTAAAAGCTCAAAGAGAGGACTTCCCTGGTGGCGCAGTGGTTAAGAATCCGCCTGCCAATGCGGGGGACACGGGTTTGAGCCCTGGTCCACATGCTGTGGAGCAACTAAGCCCGTGCGCCACAACTACTGAGCCTGCGCTCTAGAGCCCGTGAGCCACAACTACTGAAGTCCGCGAACCACAACTACTGAAGCCCCCATGCCCTAGAGCCCGTGCTCTGCAAAAAGAGAAGCCACTGCAATGAGAAGCCTGCATACCACAGCGAAGAGTAGCCCCTGCCCACCGCAACTAGAGAAAGCCAAGAGTTGCACAATACCAACCAAAATGGTGGTGTGTGCTCTTGAGATCGCCAGGTGGCGCCACCATCCTGAAAACAGTGCAGCTATTTGCAGGTGAACCTGCACACACAGGTGCGCTCTGGTCACCAGCTCCTAGGCTATTCCCCAGGGAAAGGCTTGCCCGCGTGCAAATGTGCACAGGAGCAATCTTAGTGAAAACAGCCTGAAGCCAGGACCCCCGACACACTCACAGCTGAAATGCGAGCTTTGCAACACTCACAGCAGAGGACGATGCAGCAACGGGGCGGACCATCTACAGCTTCACAAGCCAGCGTGCTGAATCTCAAAAATACAGTGGGAGTGAAAGAAGCAAAGCCCAGAACAGTATTCCAGTATAAAAAAAAAAAAGTAGAAAGAAAGGGACTTCCCTGGTGGCCCAGTGGTTAAGAATCCCCCTGCCAATGCAGGGGACACAGGTTCAAGCCCTGGTCCAGGAGGATCCCACATGCCGCAAAGCTACTGAGCCTGCACGCCACAACTACTGAGCCTGTGTGCCACAACTACTGAAGCCTGCGCGCCTAGAGCCCATGCTCCGCAACAAGAGAAGCCACCGCAATGAGAAGCCCACGCACCACAACCAAGAGTAGCCCCCGCTCACCACAACTAGAGAAAGCCCTCACGCAGCAACAAAGACCCAACGCAGCCAAAAATAAATAAAAGATAAAATTCTAAAAAAAGAAACAACCAGGAGAAATAGCACAATATATTATTTAGAGAGATGGAAAACTATAAAGAAAAGCAAGAGAGTAGCAAGTACGAAAGTCAAGAGAGTAGACACCTCTGGTCAGGACAACCGAAGGCTCTCTGATATGCCTGTTCCTGCACTGTGAGTCTTTCCACAGGGCATGTGTACCGCACTTGCTCTCCTGTCTGTCTGCTGCCTCTCACGAGGCAGCACGGGCCTCCCCTGACCCGGGGAGCCTTTGACAAGCCTGCTCTCCCCTGGCCGGTGGTGGGTCCCCCCACATGCCCTGGAGTCCGTGAGCATCCCTCACTCGCTGTGCATGCACGCAGCCTGGTGTGCCTCTGGCCCCATAGGAGGTGCTCGGCAAACGTCTGTTGAATGACTTGATGAGCACGTGTAGAAAGGGCGCAGTGAGTGAAGGAGATGTTTCAGCCACGAGACACTGTGGCTTCCGATGGAGAGACTGAGCCAGGGACAGCCAAGACCTTGACCGGCCCCCCTGGGAGGTCTGGATCCTGTCGGGGGGGAGGAGGGTTCTGAGGACCCCTCTCCTGAGGGCCTCTCCTGGCACCTCTCTGCAGCCGCATGCCTCTGCTTGGAGCCAGGGCCAAGCCATGTGCAGCACATCTGGAGCCCCACCCCTGCTGAGGTTCCCGGAGGCCCAAGGCCTGGGGCTGCCCCGCCAGAGCCCCCTCCTGCCGGTGGGCTCCTGCCAGGGCCTCCCTGCCGCCTGTCCCCCAGCCCAGTTTCCAGGGTCCCATCGAAGGAAGTCTCTGGGCCAAGAGGGGATTCCAGCCCTGGTCTCCCTGGGAGAGAACTCGCTCCCAGTCTCCGCCGTGGCTGTTCCATGTCCCCTGGCTTCTTCCCTTCTTCTCTCCCCAGGCTAGTCTGGGCCCCTGCCACGAGCACCAGGGCAGGGTCCAGTTCTCTGTTCTCCAGGACCCCTCCTCTCAGGTCTGGTGGGGCTCCCTTGGGCCTAGAGGGGTGAGGAGGGGGCAGGGGCCGGCCGGCAGCACCAGTGTCTCCTGCCCTTTCATGTGCAGGCCTCTCTCTGGGCCGCCTTTGTCTCTTACATTTCAGCCTAAACTGCAGGCCTCTGGCTCCTCTGAACTTTCTGGGGTGGAAGAAAGGGCCTGGGGGAGGGGGAGGAGAGCTGGCAGGAAAACGGGGCCTGGAGCCCTGTGCTGGCCTGCCGCACCCAGTGTCTCTCTGCTGGAACCCAGCCCGGCGGGGCTGGGGAGGCCCAGCAACGTCCCGAGTCGCCCACCCTTCCCACTGGGGTCCTGAGCTGGAAGAAAGGCTCCTTTGCTGGGCCTGAGACACCAGACCCTCAGCCTGGGCAGCCGTCCCAGCGATCCCAATTGTCCCTGCCGGTTCCACCCGGCCGGGCCATTGCCCAGACCCTGTGCCCATCAAAGGCTGTCCTTTTGGTCCCCTAACCCCGCCCCCATCTGCTGGCTCTCCTGGGTGGTCTTGCCACATGGCTCCCTGCTGCTGGAATTCCTATTTTGCACAAAATGGGGGTGGCCCCTGGCCAGAGAAGGGGGTGATGCTTGGCCAGGGTGGCACACAGGGCCCATGGGGATTCCAAGCATAGCGGCCAGGCATTTCATGGGGTGGAAGGGCTGAGCTGGGTCCTGCGACCAGCTGAGCACTTAGCCCAGTGTGCAGGGACCTGGGTGCTGACAAGCCCGGCCTGGGGGACACTCTCCCTCATCCGCAGAGGCTCCTCCTCCCTCCTTGGGAAGCCTCTGGCCTCCCCAGCCCAGGCTTCTGGGTCCCCCAGGAAAAGGGGGCCACCGGGATGGGGGGTGGGCCAGCCTGAGCGTGGGTTCTCTTGTTTCTGGGCATGGTGCGGCTGTGGCCATCCTGTTCCTCTCTCTGCCTGTGCCCTCATCTGTCACCTTGGAACTGTGTGAAGTAGGTCTGGCTTCACCCTGCTTGGCACTCAGCTTTGAGGTCTCAGCACCTCCAGAGCAGGCTCAGCCTGGGTCAGCTCAGTGTCCTGGGGGGTGACCAGGGCGATGCCCTGCCATGCAGCCCAGGACTGGGTCAGCATCGCAGGCTGGCCAGCCCTTTCTTGCCGGGAGGGCATGGCAGGGGCCCAGCCAGGAGCCCACGTGGTTCCTGTAGCTGGCGTTGCCTCCTTCCTTCACGACCAGGCCGGGGGAAAGCCGGCTCTGAAGCGGCAAGACCCTTGGAACAAGCCTGCCTGGGCGGCAGCCCAGCCCACCCCCAGGCCAGGCCTTCTGCCGCCGTGCCCTAAGGCCCGAGGGGCTGGGGGCTCTCTAGGTCCTGCTGGAGCGGAGTGCCCAGAGGCAGAGCGTGGTCGGCAGGCGCTTACAGGTCAGCGGGACAGGTCAGAAGGGGTGAATCTTTGGGGCTGAGCGGACAGGAAGAAGGTGGGACATAGACTCAGGGCGCCAGGGCTGAGACCAGGGCGCCGAGAGGGGCAGCGCGGGTGACTCAGCCGCCGCGTCTCTCACCTTTGCTCCGGAGCCAAGCGGGAGGTGGGCGGGGCGGCCCACCAGGGGGCGTGGCAGCCGTGGACCGGTCCGCGCCCCGCCCCAGGCGCCTACCCGCGGTCCCGGGACCTCGGCCTCCGGCTCCCCGACGCCGCGCCGTCAACGCCTGGTCCGCCCCGCGCCCCCATGGCCGGGAAGGCGCTGTCGCTGCTGCCGCCGCTGCTGCTGGCCGCGGCGGGCCTCGCCGGCCTTCCCCGGCCTCCTGCTGCTGTGTGTCCCCACCCGCGACATTCGGGAGCCGCCCGCCCTCAAGGTGCACGCTGGAGCGCCCTGGCAACCCGGCGCAGTCCGGGAGCTGCTGGCTGGGCCGGGGCGCCGGGCGGAGAGGCTCGGACGGAGCAGGGCCAGGCTGCGCCCGCGTGGCAGCCGGGACCCCGCGCGCTCCGCTCCCGGCCCGGCGGGATGAGGTCCCAGGCCCCTCACCAGCGCTCCGGGTCCCGGTCCAGGGCGCGGCAGCGGCGCTTCCGGGGGACGCGGTGCGGGAGGCCGAAGTCCCGGGAGCTCTCCGCTCGCCGCGCCCGCCGCGGAGCCTTTCGCGGCGCGGCCGAGGGGCGTCTCTCCACACCCCCGCGGCTCCCTGACCGCGGCCCGGCCCGCGCCCCCAGCACGTTCGGCCTCCAGGGAGGCATCGCCTCGGGGTTTGGCCCAGACGGGGTGCGACAGGCGCTGGGGCCCAGGGACTCCTCCCCAGCCTCTCCGGTGGCTCCCACAGTGAGGGGGCAGCCCTGGCTGGTCCTGAAGGGGTCGGAGCGGGCTAGGCCTGATCCCCCCACGCATCCCCGCCAGACTCAGCCTCCAGGAGCCCGCCCTCCCCAACCCTCTATTGGGCTTGTGGGCCGGCCTGATGCGTGGGTGGATGGTGGGTGCTCTAAGGCCCAGGAGCCCAGGATGGAGATCGCTGGGGTGGGTGCCCTGTAGCCAAGGGCGACCACCCGGTAGGGGTGCGGTGGGGCGGGCCACTTGGCCTGCTGCTGCTGGAGTTCCCTGTGTCAGGGAGAGGACCAGAGGGGCCCCCTTCCCGGCTCAGGAGGGCATGCTCTCCAGACCGCCTCCTCCTATTGGAATCCAGGCCCCTGGGGGCAGGTGCTGGAAAGTGGCTCTTGCAACCTGGGTGCTGACCGTCACCCGCCCGACCTGCCTGGAAGGCCCATGTGGCGCCGGGGCAGCTCTCTCTGGCCCTGCCTTTGAGGCCCAGGGAGGGGGTGTCTGCTTATCGCAGGCCCACGCGCAGCCTCAGTCCAGCTTTCCCCTTCGCTTCCACATCCTCAGGTTGGGCTGAGGTCAGAGAGATAAGGACAGAGGGGAGGAAGGAAGAGCAGGCCCGAAGGGGCGCTTCCTGAAGCTATAGCTTTTCTCCTGCAGCCTGGGGACCTCATGCCCCCCCGGGCAAGGTTCCAAGCGTGGTCCCGGGACCCCTGACTCTGATCCTGCCCCTCATTTGCCCTTGCAAGGAAGGCTCCCACAGTCAGAGGGCCATCCGCCTCCACTCCCACTCTCCCCCCAGGCAAGCTGTGGCACAGTGAGTGTCCCTGGCCTTCTCTGAGCCTCAGAGCTTCATTCTGAAGCTTCCACCCTCGACACAGGGTGGGGTGGGGTGGGCTGGACAGCTGAGAGAGTCAAAGGGCATGGCTTCAGGCCCCCGTGCCCCCCGAGGCTGACCTTCCCCCCACCCCCAGTATGGCATCGTTCTGGACGCCGGCTCTTCCCACACATCCATGTTCATCTACAAGTGGCCAGCGGACAAAGAGAACGACACAGGCATCGTGGGCCAGCACAGCTCCTGTGATGTGCGTGGTAAGGGTCCCCTGTGCACTAGGCGCCCCCTGGCCTGGACACCCACTCACTGTAGGGTCTCAGGAGCCCTCTCCGGCCTTAGCCTTTGCAGACACCAGCCATCAGAACCCGCTGCTTGATGCCAGGTGGGGCCCAATCCAGGCAGGAGCTGCAGGAGCTCCCCCAAAGACAGGCTGCGTCCCTTCTTTTCCTAGAAGAGAAGCCCCAGGAAACAGTTGGAAGGTTTGGGCCCTCCCTGGCCCAAGACTGGCCTCTACATCCCAGGTGGGGCAGGAGGGGTTCCGAGGAGCCAGTGGGCACACCCAGGCAGGCCCCTGGGCAGGCTAGGCTGGGTTGACAGGTGGAAGCTCAGAGACTCTGGGTGGCGCACGGGCGGGCCCTTTTGTCTCTGAACTGGTCTCAACCGCCACCTGGTTTAGGAGCGCAAGCCCCTCCCCCCCACCCCCGCCCTGCTGGCCTATGGTCCACCTAGAGGCCGCCCACCAGGCTTAGGCCCCTCTTGCTGCCTCCCTCTAGGTGGGGGCATCTCTAGCTACGCTGACAACCCTTCTGGGGCTGGGCAGAGCCTTGTGGAATGCCTGAACCAGGCGCTTCGGGATGTGCCCAAGGAGAGACACGCGGGCACGCCCCTCTACCTGGGAGCCACAGCGGGCATGCGCCTGCTCAAGTGAGTGTGCTATCCCCTGACCTCCTGGCCCCAGGGACCACGACGGCCTCAGCACAGGGCGGGCCCTGCATGTCCCCCGCAGCAGCCCTGGGCTGGGGCCCCCTCGGCTGGCTGTGCACCCCAGCAGCAGGATCACGGCCATCTGGGGAAGATGCCTCTAGAATCCTCCCTGTGTCACAGCCTAACCAATCCAGAGGCTGCGGCCAACGTGCTTGCGGCCGCGACGCAGACGCTGACCCAGTATCCCTTTGACTTCTGTGATGCCCGCATCCTCTCAGCCCAGGATGAGGGGGTGTTTGGCTGGGTGGCCGCCAACTACCTGCTGGAGAACTTCATCAAGGTGGGCCCGGTGGCCCCCACCCACTGGCTGACCTCAACCTCCACTTCCCGCAGTATGGCTGGGTGGGCCAGTGGTTCCGGCCAAGGAAGGGGACGCTGGGGGCCATGGACCTGGGGGGCGCCTCCACACAGATCACCTTCGAGATGGCCAGCGCAGCTGAGGATCCGGCCAATGAGGTCCAGCTGCGGCTCTACGGCCCACAGCTTCCTCTGCTATGGCCGTGACCAGGTCCTCTGGAGGCTGCTGGCCAGTGCACTCCAGGTACCCTCCACTGAGTCCTTCTGGAGGTAGGGAGCCAGGGGGAGTGGGGGCCGAGGGCCCAGAGCAGAGCCCGAACAGCAGCCGTACTGAGGGGGGCTTCTCCAGGAACCAAAGTCGGGCTTTCATCAGCTGTAAGGACAGGTGGGCAGGGATCCAGCATGCGTAAAGGCCCAGGGGCTGGAGGTGAGCCTGGTGAGTGGCTGGCTGGGGAGGAAGGAGGGCCAGGGCCACATCTCAGAGGACCTGGACTGCCGGCCTAAGGGGGTTGCTTTTTGTCCAGCAAGAAGGGGGAGCCATGGATTGCTCCTGAGCTCAGAAGTGATGTTGCCAAAGTGGAACTTGTGGGAGATTTATCAGCTGGTCCTCTGGGGAGGCCCTCCTAGGGTCTTAGGGTGGGGATGGTGGGCAGTGCTTGGAGTGGCGGTGTTGCCACACACACCCTTGTCATCTGCCCAGACCCACGGCTTCCACCCCTGCTGGCCGAAGGGCTACTCCACTCATGTGCTGCTCCAGGATGTGTATGAGTCGCCATGCACTGCAGCCCAGCGGCCCCAGACCTTCAACAGGAGCGCCAAGGTCAGCCTGTCGGGAAGCAGCGACCCTGCCCTGTGCCGTGGCCTCATCTCTGAGCTCTTTAACTTCTCCTCCTGCCGCTTCTCTAGACGCTCCTTCAACGGCATCTTCCAGCCCCCTCTGGCTGGAAAGTTCATTGTGAGTCCAGAGGACTGGGGGTGGGGGGCCGGGGGCGTGCCCCAAAGTGCTTGGGGTCTGGTCACGGTGTGACTGTACCCCCCTCACAGGCCTTCTCTGCTTTCTTCTACACGGTGGACTTCCTGAGAACTGTGATGGGGCTGCCCGTGGCAACCCTGCAGCAACTAGAGGCGGCCGTGGTCACCATCTGCAACCAGACGTGGAGTGAGGTGAGGCCTGCACCCCCCTCCTCCAGGGCTGCTCAGGGGGCTCAGCCAGCCAGTGTCACGCGTCCTGATCATTCGTTTGCTCTACGAGTAGAGGGAGTCTTAGCCCTCTCAGAATGCCCACTGCAGTGGGGGATACACTGTTAATCAGACTTGAAAAGTGGCCAGGATACGGCAAGGAGGCCGGGAGCCAGATGAGATTGCAGAAGCCTCCCTGAGGCCTGACCCTAGAACCAAGATCAGGAGGGTAGAGGGAACAGCCAGTGCAAAGGCCCTGGGGCAGCAGGGAGCATGGAGTGGACAGGGTGGGGAGGCGTGTAGCTGGGAGAGTGTGGGGGAGAACAGCCAAGCAGGGGAGAAGCAGAGGACTCAGGGGAGACTTAGCAGATAGAACTGGGGGTGGGGGAGTGAGAACCCCCAGGTTTCTGGCTGCCACCATGGACTGGACACTGGCTCAGGTGAAGGATGGAGGGGTTCGGGCATGCAGAGGAAGAGGTGACTCCGGGAGAAGCACTGGAGTGTCTCTGGAGTGGGGCTCGGTGGTGACGGAGGCCCCATCCTGTCCTCTTCGTGGCTAGTCTCAGACAGACTTGGGGCTGCTGGAAAAGTGGGGATCGGGAGGCAAGCCCAGGGGCCTGGGGTCAAGCCTAGAGCTTCTCCTGTTACCCCGACCATCGCCAAGTTTGCTGCAGCCCTCTGCCCGCTGCGTGGCCACCCCTGCTGTCCCCTGGAGGTCCTCCTCCCAGGCGCAGGTTCTTGCTGCCATCTGGAAGTCACGCTGTTCTGCCCTGAGGAAAGAGCTCTGCCTGGGGGAGGCCCCCTCAGCCTCGTTCTTTCTGGGACCTGCGGGGGGGTCTCCAGCCCCGCATTGCCTTTCTGTGTCTGGTGGGGCAGAGATCTCCTGGTGGCCGCTGGCCCTACAGTCTCCCACCTGCATTCCAGCTGCAGGCTCGGGCGCCGGGGGAGCGGGCCCGCCTGCCCGACTACTGCGCTGGGGCCACATTCGTGCAGCAGCTGCTGTGCCGCGGCTACGGCTTCGACGAGCGCACCTTCGGAGGCGTGACCTTCCAGAAGAAGGTGGGAGCCGGTGGGCCCGCGCGCAGGGGGGCGGGGCCGAGCGCGGGGGGGCGGGGCCTCCCGGGCTGCGCCTAGGCTGAGGCCGCGCCTGCCGCCCGTAGGCCGGGGACACCGCTGTCGGCTGGGCGCTCGGCTACATGCTGAACCTCACCAACCTGATCCCCGCCGACCCGCCCGGGCTGCGCAAGGGCACAGACTTCAGCTCTTGGGTCGTCCTCCTTCTGCTATTCGCCGCCATGACCCTGGCTGCGTTCGTCCTTCTGCTGCACCGGGCGTGCTCTGCCAAGTCGCCGAGCGCCATCTAGGGGCGGGTTGGCGGCAGCTGCCCCAGCCCCAAGGCCCCCATGCCTCACCCCACCCCACTCTCAACATCTCTGTCCCTAATGAAGCCCGGGAGCAAGGCTCTGGCGACCACGCCCACATTTGGCCGGATCGGCGAAGGCAACCGGCTCCAGCGCCCTCCTGCCCACTCCTGCCTTGGCTTCATCGCTGGGCCTAGTGTGCCTCCTCCTCTTACTGTGGGTGGGGATTCAGACACCCCGCAGCCCTCAGCCTGTGAATGCGGGGTTGGGTCCGCAGGGAATGGAGTCCTGAGAGTCCCCTCCCACCCCCAGTCTTGGGTTTTAGGGGGAGGGTCAGAGCCCACAAGCTGGGAGCCAGCCCAGCGCCTACTTGTAAAAATTTTGTAGTAAAAAGTTTTTCATAGAGCAGTGGAGAGAATGTCCGTGGGGTGGGGCGTCTCTGCTGTTGCCGGCCCTCCCTCGCCACAGTTAAAAAAAATTTTTTTTGGCCGCGTTGGGTCTTCGTTGCTGCGCACGGGCTTTCTCTAGTTGCGGCGAGCGGGGGCTACTCTTCGTTGCAGTGCGCGGGCTCTAGGTGCGCAGGCTTCAGTAGTTGTGGCACGCGGGCTTAGTTGCTCCGCGGCATGTGGGATCTTCCCGGACCAGGGCTCAAACCCGTGTCCCCTGCATTGGCAGGCGGATTCTTAACCACTGCGCCACTAGGGAAGCCCTCCCCGCAGTTGTGTTGGGTGCACAGGCCCCCTCCTGGTCCCGAGGGAGGACCCCGGTTGTTTCTACTTCCTTCCTCTCTGGGCCCAGACCTGGGGTGATGTTGACTGACCCTGGTCTCTTGCTCCACGGTTGTGGCCTGGAGTAGCTGCCAGTTGGTTGGCCTAAAAGAGTCCCTGAGTCCCTTGAGTCTTCTCTGGCCAGCAGAGGCCCTGCAGCAATGGCAGATCTGCAGCAGTGACCTAGGCCAGACTGGAGTCTGGGCCCCGGCCTCGAGCTGGCCTGGGGTGCAGGTGCGAATGGCAGGCCGGAGAGTGAGTGGGCAAGGCAGCTGCCTAGGGTGCAGGCAGTGCTCAAGACCTGGGGGCGGTGAGGGGCAAACCCTAAACAGGAGGTGGTGTCGGGGGATGTGGAGATCGGGGCCAAGACGGACGAAGGGCCCATTGCTCAGAAGGATGATCCTTGCCAGGAGCCTGGATCTGGCGCCAAGCCGTGCAATCACACCAGACGTCGCGTCCCTGCTGCCTGGGTGCTGTTTTCCGCGTCCTCAAGAGACATCAGCCACCCTCACCTGCCGCTCCTGCAACCCCCCTTCCCTAAGCACTGTTTTCTCCAGCGTGGGAACGCGTGGTCTTGGCGGCATCTCCCCGCCGCCTCCCCCTTTCTGGGAAGTGAGCTCAGACACTATTTCTGTCTGGTCATGCCTTGTGTGGGAGGATGGCAGTCCTTGTTCGCTCATCACCCCCCTGCCCAACGCACGCACCACGTACACTTCTGCTAGTTTCTGAGCCATTTCACAAACCTGAGGGCAGCCAGCCCCATCTTCGAAGTTTTGAAACACAAAGGGCTGAAAGGAAGCACCGTGCTGGGGCCCCCCCCTCCCCCCCCGCACTTGTTCTCTCAGTAACGTGAGCCTGGGAGGTTTCCAGGTGGGATGGGGTGCGGGTGCTCTCACGAGGCAGCCGGTGGGGGGTAAGAGGGGGCATCACAGTGCTTGCTGTCGTGGGGCACCCCGGAGCTAAAAGGCTGTCACCTGGGCACCGTGGACAGCTCTCAGCTGGCTGTCATCAGTAGCTCCAGGTCACTCTTGCCCCCTGGTGGCCTCACTGAGAGCGGCCGTCCCACTGCAACCACCGTGGCCGCCGGCACCGACCTCGTTCTGTGCGTGTGTGTTTGCCTTCACAGTGTGTCTGAATGCCTGGTGGGTCTCTGCGCACACCTGGGCATCTCTGTGCACCTGTCCAGCTGTGTGCGCCTGGTGTCCTTCCAGGTCCAGGCAGGTCCTCCGCTCCAGGAGGGTGGGGGTGGGGTGGGAGTTAGCAGCCCGAGAGGGACGGGGCCCGGGAGAAGCGCATCCCGGGGAAACCCATCCCCAACCAGTCCCTAGCCTAGAGAACATCCCCGGCAGCACAGGCGGCAGTGGTTGAGGCACCCGGAGGACTGGCTGGATGGGTGGGTGGAAGAGGGAACAGAACTGGAGGGAGGGAGAGGGGCGCAGCCTCACGGCGTCGTCCCGCCCCCGCAGGTGGAGCGCGCAGGCGCACTCCCGGCACGCGCGCCTCTCGCTGCCTAGCCTCCGTCCCGGATCCTTTGCCGCAGCGTCAGCGCCGCCGCCGCCTCTTTTCCTCATCATCCGCCTCCTCGGCCTCTGCCTCCTCTTCCTCCTCCGCCCCCTCCTCCTCCGCCTCCGCCGCCTCCCCCGACGCGGCGCCCGGAGCCCGTGCCCAGCCCCCGGCCGCGCGGTGCCATGCTGCCCCGGCGGCGGCGCTGAAGGATGGCGACGCCTGTCCCTCCGCCCTCCCCGCGGCACCTGCGGCTGCTGCGGCTGCTGCTCTCTGGCCTCGTCCTCGGCGCGGCCTTGCGCGGTGCGGCCGCCCGCCGCCCGGGTGAGCGAGTGCACTGGGCGCAGGCCGCGCGCGGGGCGCCCCGGGGCCGGGGATCGCCGGGCGGGGGTCCGGCCGCGCGGCGCCGCCGTCATCCTCCCCGCCGCCGCCCTCGCCAGGGCCCGCAGGCCTCGCAGGCCCCGCAGGCCCCGCGGCCCAGCCTGCGAGCCACCATGCCGGCCCCGCCTCTCGCGGGTCGGGAAAACAGGCCCGGCGGGGAGGGCGCGGCACCGGGCTGCCGAGGGGCTCCTCTGGATGGGGCTTCTGCCGGCTTCTGGTGTTGATTCGCTTCATGTCTTTGTCTGGGTCCGTGAGCCTGGTGGGTCGGTGTCTCAGGAGGGCGCTCTCTGCGTGGCCCCGCGGCCTGGAGTCTGCCCCGTGGGCGTTTCTGTGTGTGCGCGTCTCGGGCACCGCGGGTGCGGGCCCGGCCCTGGGTGCCTGCCGTCCTTACTGCCGGTGTCCGTCCTGGAGTCGGAGTCGCAGTGCTGGTCGGTCCCTGTGCCTCGGTGGTGGACATGCGCCTTGCTTTGCTGCCGTGGTGGGTCTGAAGTTTCCTTGCGCAGCTGACAGCTAGTCCCAGGCTTAGGGTTTTGCTCTGGCCTCAGTGGGGACAGGAGGAGCTTACAGTCTCTGCGTCCACACTCACCCTCCGCTCTGCAGGGCCCCTCCATTCTGTCTTCTGTGCTTGGGGTTGGAGGGCACCCCCCAAGGTAGACTGAGAAAGAAAGGGATGAGCCCAGGGTCCTGGGAGACGCTCCTGGCTCCCCAGGTGGGCACTGAGCTTCCAAAGGTCTGCAGGAACGCAGAACCCAAAATGCACTCTGCCAGGTGGCAGAATTGGGAGACTTCGTACCCATGACTTCACTCATTTTTCCTGGCAGCCCCATAGGAGAAGTGTTGTTCTCAGCCCATTTTACAGATGAGGAAACTGAGGCACAGAGAAGTGACCACTGTATGATGCAGCTGGGATGCTAACCTGGGCAGTGCGTGTGGTCTGCATGTGTGGCCTCAAGAGGCCAGAGCAGGGCAGGCTTCCTCCTGGCCACAGCACCCCTGGACAGAGGCCTGGCACCACCAGGGTAGGCTCCCAAGGAGGCCTGAGGGCCAGATCATGGCTGGCCAGGGATGGTGGAGGCTGCCTGCTGCCGGCCTGGCTCCAGGGCGTACAGGGTGGGGCCTCCTGGGGAAACGGCTTATAGTCCCAGTACTGAGCCTCTGGGCTGGGCCGGTGCCGCCCAGCTGCTCATCAGCTGTGCACCCAGGTCCGGGGCAGGGTGCCAGGCACTCTCCAGCTGCTGCTGTTCCTGGGACCTCGTCCCTCACCCTGAGTCTGGAGCAGGGGCCTTCCCAGGGCTAAATGGGCAGCAGCCACATCGTCCCAGGGTGGGGGACTGGGAGTGGAGGGAGGCCCCGGAACCCGGAACCCAGAGCCAGCTCTGGAACTCAGGCCTCTACCCTTGCTCTGGCGCACTCTGGGTTCTCTGCACTAGGGGCCGGGGCTGCCTGGCTCCCCAGGTGCCCAGCTGGTGGGTGGGGTCCAGACGGACCAGCTGGCACAGGCTTAATGTTTAACTAGCCCAGGCCCTGGGCCCAGCTCACTGATACGGGCGCCTGCTGACCCAGGTTGTGCTGGAGGGGGGATCCCTGGGATGGCAACCTCAGCCCACTTGCCCACCTGCTGTAGGAGCTGCTGGAACTTCCTTGAAGGGATGCCTACAGCCAAGAGGCTGTGGGTGTCAGGTTACCAAGGCAACCAAGCCAGACCAGCCAAAGTCTGGAGAAGGACAGAGCGGGCATTCCCGGATGCCCCATGTCACCCTCCTGCAGCAGGGACTGTCCTGGTTCTCTGAGATGTGCCCACCCCCACCTCCCCAGACACCACTGACAGTTCTGCTGGGTCTCCCCCTGGCTCCACTGGCTCTGCTGTCCCGTGAATGGGGCTAGTGTCCCAGGTCTTGAGACATTCCCCACCTTTTTTTTTTTTTTTTTTTTTTTTGCGGTACGCGGGCCTCTCACTGTTGTGGCCTCTCCCGTTGCGGAGCACAGGCTCCGGACGCGCAGGCTCAGCAGCCATGGCTCACGGGCCCAGCCGCTCCGCGGCATGTGGGATCCTCCCGGACCGGGGCACGAACCTGCGTCCCCTGCATCGGCAGGCGGACTCTCAACCACTGCGCCACCAGAGAAGCCCGAGACATTCCCCAGCTTTGAGGCAACTCACCTTCTGCATCCAGAGAGGAAACTGAGGCAGAGAGGGCCACCGCCCTCCACCCCCCAGCATCAGAATGGGAGCCTTGGTCACGTGTACAGGACACTGAGGTCTGGGCCCCAAATTAGAAATGGCCTGGCCTGTAGTCCCAGGCCTGCCCCAGTCCCTGGCAGTGGTGGCTGCAGGAGTGACCCCGGCCTGGCTTGTGCTTCTGAAGCAAGTGAGACTGGCAGACTCCGCCGCATGTCTCCCCAGCCCCAGCGGCTCGGCTGTGCCCTGGGGACCAGCCAGTGGTTAGACGTGGGGGCAGTGATTCGACCTGTGCTGTCTCCCAGCTTGGCCCTCTAGGGCTGTAGGATGTCATGATGAGGTTTGCGGTGGGGTGGGGAGGCAGCCCTGAAATAGGAGACAGCCCCGAGGTGGTGGGAGGGAGCGACCTGGGCCCCGCCCTCTGGGGCTCCCAGGTTGGGCAGGGGTGAGAGACTCGCTCTAGGACAGGTTGAGACTGGAGATGGGACTCGGAGCGCTGCAAGGCCCTAACGTTCTCTGGATGGTAGGGGACAGTTCCTGTGCGGAGAGCTGGCTCAGGTCAGGGGAGTGGACTCTGGGGAGGGAGTGAGGCAAGAGAGTTCCGATAAGTGTTAGGACTGTTTGTCTTCCTGGTTCTGATTCCCGGTGCAGGGGAGGAAGGGCCTGCCCAGAACAATGGCCGGAGCCAGGCTTGGCCGGCTCTGTAGGGAGGGGTTGGGGTGGCCAGGACAGTCCTACTTACTGTGCAGGGGCTGAGTCAGGCTGGCCGTGACCCTGTTCTGCCTCCGCTTTCTTCTCAGATGCAGCCGTCTGTCCTGGGAGCCTGGACTGTGCCCTGAAGAGGCGGGCGCGGTGCCCCCCGGGTGCACGTGTCTGTGGGCCCTGCCTTCAGTCCTTCCAGGAGGACCAGCAGGGGCTCTGTGTGCCCAGGATGCGCCAGCCCCAGGGTATGGCTTCCTCCCTCCCCCACCTGGTACATTTGACCCCAGCCTTAGCTCTCAGGTCTCCTGCGCTTTGTGGGGTGCCAGGGACTCTCAAGTCGCCCTCCAAGTGGCCTGGCGATCCTTTCCAGATGGTACCAGCCCAGAGCTGGGTGGTGGGCTGAGGCCTGGGGCAGTTAGCCCCTCCCAGGGCAAGAGGTATCCAGTGTGAAGTGCTGGGTGATTCTGGGAGAGGCGGGGTCAGAGTTCCCCAGGCTTGGGTTTCCGCAGGGCTGGTCCCAAACCCCTCAGGCACCCACTTCTCCGCCCGCTGGGCCGCCCCTGCTCCCTGCCCAGAGACCCCTCTCTCTCCATCGCTCACCTGTCCTGTCTGATTGATTGTGCTGGCGGTGCCCTGCCCGCCGGCCTGAGCCCAGAGTCTGTCGGGATGGTGCCAGAGTGACTCCAGGTGTGATGGGGCATTGCAGAGGGTGCTCTGGGGGCTGAAGAGTTGGGTGGGCTGGGAGGGGCTTCCTGGAGGAGCATGTTCCCGGCAGCGAGCGGGGCGGGGGCCTGCTGCAGAAGGCGCATGCTCTGCGCTCTGGGTGCTGAGCGGGGGCGTCTACTCGGAGCCCCTGTCCGGACTGTGGTGCCCACGGCAGGGCCGAGGGGGACCCAGCCACGGCCCCGCCCCAGCTGCGGCCCTCCCTTCCTCCTGATGGCCTGGTGGGGGCGGGGGTGCAGAATGGGGCTTCTCCGCATTCCTTGGGGGGTCCTGCTCGTCTTGGCAGCGGAGGCAGTGGGCCAGGTGACGCATTGTCCCCGTGCTCCTCCCACCACTTTGTGGGTAATGCGTGGGGTGTGGGGCAGCACCCCTGCCCTTCTCCTGGCCTCTGCACGTTCCCATAGCACCTGCACCCCCTGCCCGCTTTCCTGGGAACGCTGGTGCTCACACAGAGCTCCCTCAGTTGTCACCATGGCAACCGGGATGGCCAGGAGCAGGTAGGCTGGTACCTGGTCCTCTGGCCACAGGTGCCTGGGAGGAGCCTGCAGGGAGAAGGAGGCCTCGGCCTGGGGCTGGCTCCCAGATGGGCCTCTCCCTCTCTCCCTCTCTCCCTCTCTCCCTCTCGGAGGGCGCCGGGTAGCTGGTGTTGCCAGGGAGGGGCTGGGGGCCTCTCCACCTGATAGCCCTTCACCCTCCCCAGGGGAGGGCTTGCCCCAGCCCAGACTGGAAGAGGAGATCGACTTCCTGGCCCAGGAGCTAGCCCGGCAGGAGGCGGGGCACTCCAGGCTCACGGCCCCACCCCAGCCTGAGGGGCGACTGCGGCTCCTGGAGGCTGGTGAGACCCCGCCCCCTTCCCCTGTCCAACTCCCCACCGCCCTTGACCCCGGCCTGGTCTTGCCGTTTAACTTGCTCTCCCTCTGCAGCATCCACCCTGGGGCTCTCAGAGCGTGGCCGGGGCCCCAACCTGGGCGTCCCCTCCACGCGGGGAGCGCCCACGCCCCGCACCTCCTCCCTGCGCTCCACTGTGTCATCTGGGCCTGTGCACATGTCCCCGCTGGAGCCGCGGGGCGGGCGCGGTGACGGCCTTGCCCTCCGTAAGTCTGGCCGGGCGGGGAGGCAGGGTCCTGCCCGAAAGGCTGCCCTCACTGCGCCCCCTCCCTGCAGTGCTGATCGTGGCGTGCTCCGTGGCCGGCGCGGCCGCCCTTGCCGTGGCCGTTCTCTGCTGGTGTCGGTGAGCATGGGGCCGGGCTGGGGGCGGGCGGCCGGGCGGGCGGTGAGCATGGGGCCGGGCTGGGGGCGGGCGGCCGGCCGGTGACCCCGCGGGTCTCAGGTGTGGTGTCTCCACTCCCCGCAGGCTGCAGCGAGACGTTCGCCTGACCCAGAAGGCCGACTATGCGGCCCCGCAGGCGCCCAGCTCCCCAGCCACGCCCAGGATCTCGGTGTGTGGCCGCGCCCGGCCGCGCCCCGCCCCGCCCCGTCCCGCTCCGCCGCTCTGCCTCGGCCTGACCCCGTCTCCCCACTCCCGCAGCAGCCCGGGGACCAGCGGCTGGCGCACAGCGCGGAGATGTACCACTACCAGCACCAGAGGCAGCAGATGCGGTGCCTGGAGCGGTGAGAAGCCCCACCCGCCCCGCCCCACCCCTGGCCCAGCCACCCCTACCCTGGCCCGCTGCTCCCGCCCCTATCCCGGGCCACTGGCACCTGGAGGGTGAGGGAGGACCCGACGATCCTGCCCCCACCCAGGCATAAGGAGCCCCCCAAGGAGTTGGACTCCGCCTCCTCCGACGAGGAGAACGAAGACGGCGACTTCACGGTGTACGAGTGCCCCGGCCTGGCCCCGGTGAGTGCGGGGGTGGGCGGTGGGTGTCCCTCCCCAGCCCTGGACCCACCTAACGCCAGCGTTCGCAGACTGGAGAGATGGAGGTGCGGAACCCACTGTTCGACCACGCCTCGCTGTCCGCGCCCCCGCTGCAGTGACCCGAAGGCTGATGCCCACCCTCTCGTGGATGCGCGGCCCACAGGTGGGGAGGGGCAGGCCCCAGCCTTTGCCATTAAAGAGACTGTGTCCTGACACGCGTGTGCTTGCGGCTGGGGTCCCGGGGCGGCTGGGAAGCCCTTGCCGGGGAGACTCCCCCTGCTGCCAGGGACCTTCTCTGCTCCTTGCACCTGCCCCCTCACATCTGGACACCCCCAGTCGAGGGGAGGAAGACAACCCGAGAGACAAGGCCTGGATTGGGAGTCCGGGAGACAAGCCAATTAAAGTACATTTCAAAACTTTGGCTGGGTGTGCCGGCGACTGACCTCCCCCCTCCCCGCCACTGGGAGGGACCCTGGAGCGGGCCTCAGGCTTCCTTCCACGCCCCTAGAGAGGCGGGATCTCTGTGCCCTTCGTGGGAAGACCCTGTCACCGCCCACTGGGGAAGGGAGGCTTTATTTTTCCTAGGCAGAGGACCACCCTAACCTCTTTCTCCTCCAGGCCTCCCCCCACCAACACTCGTGCCCCAGAGCCGGGGAGGGGAGGAGTGCGGCGCAGGGCCAGGCCAGTCTGAAGTTGGTGCCCCTCCCTCAAGACCCCGTCCTCTTGTGTGATAAAAAGGGCTGGGAGCGGGCACCCCAGGCCTCCGTTCCTGCCCTGTGTCCACATGGGCTGGAGGGCGGGGAGGGACGGCATGCAGGATTGACTGTGGGCCCCTGCAGCCTGTGTGGGGGGCACGCCAGGCAGAGCGACACAGGCTGCACACAGGTGGGTGGGCCAGGTCAGGGGACAGAGGTGGCAGGGGCCCTGAGTGTCAGGAGCTGGGTCTTGGTGCACCCCAATCCCCCGCCAGGGAGCAAGGAGGCCAGTGGAGGGGGAGGGGACCTCCAGCTGAAGGCCCGGAGTGGTGGCCGAGCTTCGTGGTCAGAAGCGCCGAGACTGGGCCTGGCAGCGGGGTTTCTGGGGTCCAGGGGCAGCGGGGCCTGGTGCACACAGGGTGTGGCTATCAGACCTGTCTGCCTCCCCAAGGCTGGGAATGAGGGATGGGTTGCGTTCAGAAGCCCCTTAGTGATTCCTAGGGGTGGGGCGTCTAGAGAATGCTGGACCTCTGGCTCCTAGATGGAAGGGGGCAGCCGTGAATGGGGAGCACAAAGCCAGTTTGGGACAGTCAGGTCCCTGAGGTGGGGCTGGGCCGGGGAAATGGGGTTGGCTCTGCTTAGAGCTAATGGCTTTTCCTAAAGCGGTATGTTTCTGGGGCTAGAGCCCACCCCTGACTCCTGGGCCGTGGCCTTGGGCTGGCCCTCAGCCGGAAGCCTCAGTTTTCCTTTGAGGCACTGGTGTGGGAGATGAAATGGGCCGGGTACAGGGAGCTGGGAATGAGGGTAGGGTGGGATGCAGGCAGGGTGACGAGGACCGCTGTCCACTGTCATCTAATCTGTATCGTGAGGGGAAATAGCTACGAAGAAAACTGGGGGGCAGAGAGATTAAGTTCTCACTCAAGAGCAAGGTACCCAGCTGATCCGGCCAGGCCAGTCCGTCTCGCCAGCGGGACCTGCAGACCCAGGGCCGGCGGCTCCCCTGGAGCCCTGGGGTCAGTCCCCGGGCTCCTGGTACTTGCCTTTCCCACCTCGTGCTGGCCTGACCGGGGCAGAGAGCGGCCACCCTACGTGCTGACCACTGTCACCTTCCAGACGACAGCACCTAGGCAGCAGGAGTGGGGAGCACGCAGCCCCAGCCCGAGGGGCGCCTCAGGGAGAGAGGGCCAGAGCCTGGCTACCCAGCTGTCTGCCCCAGGGCTGGGCCTGAGCAGAGCCAAGTCCAGACACGTGCCCAGAGGCCCCCTGGTGGCCATGCTCCCAGCCCCCGGCTCCTGCAGGAGCGGGCTGAAGGCGGCAGAGGGAGCCCGCACACCCTTTGCTCCCAGAGAGAGGGTGAGGCAGGGGCTCAGGGAGTGCCTTTGGGAAGGTGGGCGCCCAGGCTGGCAGGTGGCCAAGGGCGCCCCAGGTTGGGGGTGCAGCTGAGGGAGCAGCACGAGGGCAGTGCCGGAGGGCAGTCACAGCAGGCAGCAGCCTCCCCGTGGACCACCTGGAGGCCACCAGCCCCGCCAGCCCTCCTTCCCTTCCTGCCCAGGCTGTGGAGCGTGGCCACATCTGTCCAGGGGGAGCTCCAGGACCTGCTGGGGGCTCCTCCAGGGCCCTGGGGGGGGGTGTGCAGGGTGGGGACTCGGAACCCCGGAGCATCTCAGCCACCCAGGCTGGCGGGAGGACATCTCCTCCTGGGGTCTGCAGCTGGGGAGGCTTCCACTGCCTAGGCTCTTGGCTAGGGGCCACCCCACCCCGCGGCCTGTGCCAAGCGCCATCGTAGCCCCAGGGTCTATGCTGGGCTGTGGCAGTGTCACTCTCTGGCACCTGCACTCGGGAGGACAGAGGCCAGGGAAGCTTCCTAAGCAGCGGAGGCACACATGCATCACCGGCCCCACTCCCCCCCCATGCCCTCTAGTGAGAACCGGGTGGAGGTGGGGTGAGGGCTGCCAGAGATGGGGCCTGTGAGAGTCCCAGGTGGGCTCAGGGCTCCTGGTGCGGTGGCCAGGAAAAGTGCTCGTGGGCAGGGCACCTGGGCTGGGGACGGGAGCACCCCAGGGACTGTGAAAGGAAGGGTGGTTGAGGATTTGACCAAGCAGGGGCCGGCTCTGTCTGAGCTCGCCTGGGGCCAGTGGGGGCCAAAAAAGCCAGATGGGGAGCGGACATGGAACTGCTCGGGGCCTTGCGCCCGGTGAGTGGGCTGAGGGAGGCCCTCCTCCCTGGGGGACCCCAAGCCCCTGCCCTCCCTTCCCTGACCCGGTCTGCTGGCCCCTAACTCGTTGCGGAGGCCGCCGGAAGGGGGATCATCTTCCCTTGGGCCCTGGGCAGTGGGAAGCAGGGACCCTGGGGAGAGGCTGGGGGCCGTCTGATCGGTGCCCGCCAGGAGGCTGGCCCTGGAGCAGCCCTGCGCTCAGCTGCGGGAGTGACCCTGTGTTCCTGGGTCCCAGATGCTCACGGGCTGCTAAGCTGGAGGTGGGTGCCCGCCGGCATCCCAGTGACTCCGAGGCCCAGGGCTGAGCTGGCAGGAGGAGGCGCCACTTTCCCTTTGACTCAGACGCTCTCACCTTTTTCATTTTCCTCTGAGAACCTCTCGTTCTGACCCATCTCTGGGCCAACCTTGGAGCCCCATTTCCCAGCCAGCAGGTTCTCACGAACGGGGGGGGGCCCAGCGACTGGCAGGCATGCCAGGGGCCCCTAGGAGCAGCAGACCTCACGTAAGGGTGGGGGAGGTTCCTTCAAGTCCACCCAGGAAGGGAGTGGGCTGCGGGTGTGGGTGAGGCCGGTGGCAGGGCCCCAGCCAGCCTGGCAGTGCAAACAGGAAGGGCAGAGGCTCTGGCAGCCAGGAGCCAGGTCACTGGCAGGCTGTGGCGGGATCAGCTCCTTCCTGCTCTCCCCCACCGCCCGAGGGGCGCCTGCCACAGGCAGAGGGGGTGGTCTCCTCCGGGGCCCCTGTGCCAGGGAAGAGACACCTGGGTGGGACCAAAGGCCCAGTGCCACTGCGGTCCTCTCTCTAAATGACAGGTGCCGGAAGGGCAGGGGTGGCAGCAGCTGCCTGCTCCGGTCAGGGCCTGACGCTGGCCCGCGGGAGCCAGGCCTGGCGGCTGCATCCACACCTTCGGCCACCAGATGGTTTCCGACCGATCCCGCAGGCCCCGCTCCGCCCCCCCGCCGATGTTGCACAAGGCCTCACCGCAGCTCAGAGGTTATGCAGGGGGTGGGGAGCCTCAGAGGGGCCAAATTGCCCCCCTTCTCCTGGACTTGCTTCTGTCCCCCTCCATGGGTCTACCGCCAGCTCCCCGGTTCCTGCCCTGAGGGCAGGCTGGTCCTCACCGGAGGGCGGGAGTTGGGGGAGGCCAGCAGCCCCGGGAGCCCGCGTGGATCAGGACAGGGACTTCGGGGCGATGGGAGGCGCCCAGGATGGCGTGGGCGGCAGATCCGACCACTGGTTCCTGGTTGCTGTTCCTTCCACGACACCCAGCCCGCAGCCTCCAAAAACTGGACTGGCCTGAGGCCTTTAGGACACTAGCATGAGGGCTGGGCCTTGCCCAGCCACGTCCAGCCAGGTTGAAGGAAGCTGATGGCTGAGCATGGGGTGCACGCCAGAGCCAGGGCCGTCCAGCTCCGAGGAACCAGAGCAAAAGGGGAAGGAACAGGACCTCCATGCCTGGGCCTCCAGGGCTGGCCGGACGGCGGGGGAGGAGAGGGACTCTGGACTTCAGCCTTCCTTTTCCTGGAGCGGGTGCCAGCCCCCTGCCCACGTCAGGGACAAAGCGACTCCTTCCCTTTCCAGCCTGGAAAGCCCCCTCCCTGCCCCCACTCCCACCCTGGGCTGTGGGACCTGGAAGAAGAGACCTGGAGACCCCAAGGGCAGGCCTCCCACCCCAGGTTCCTGCAGCTCTTCCCGGCCCGGCCAGAACCTGGGCCCCGCCGCTGGGGCTTCCACAGACACGGTTCCTTGGGAGGGAAAAGAAGGTGTGGCAGCCCCACAGCCCACCCCGGGGCCAGGCCCAGCCCGGCACCTGCCCACCACGGGCACGTGCCGGGGCCTTGTGTGGGCAGACACTCCTAGGACCCCTGGACGGAACCCCTCTCTGGGAACCTGGGTTCTGGGACAAAGGTGTCCTAGAGGCAGCAGGGGTGGGGTGGGGTGGAGTGGCCCAATTAGAAGCAAAGAATAGGACAGACCTCAGCCTCCTGGCAAATAGCTGAGTGCAGCACATCTGCGGCAAGAGGGTCTGGGAGCCCACAGCGGAGCTGAACGGGCGGTGAGCAGGGGAAGTGGGTGATGACACAGCACTGGGGGAGGTGGTGCTGGCCGGGGCTCGGCTGGCCTCCGAGGGAAGCGTGCCTGCTGTCCACGGGCACCCCAGGCCTGGGCAGCAGGCAATAGCTGGGTGCTCAGTGGCTGGGCCACCCTTCTGGGGCGGGGGCCACCTCCGCTCAGGATGGCCTCCCTTTCCCTGAGGTCCCACGGGCCCTCTCCTCCTCCTGCCTCCCGTGCCTGCCCCGTGCGTCACCTCCGGGCCTTTCCAGAGGCCAGCCGGGGTGGGGGACACGGTCCTGGACCCTGGCTGGGCGCCCTTCCTGTAGCCGCCTCCCCTCAGCAGCCAGAGGGCTAGAGGGGGAGGCGGGGTGAGGATGGCAGCGATGCCATAGGTCACCTCGGGGCGGGGGCGAGGGCGGGACAGGAGCGGGAAGGTACCCTGGTTGCCCTCCTCCTGAG